GGGGGAGGTATGAAAGGGAAGGGGCTTCCCTTCGACTCAATTACGAGGTTGCTCAAGGTCGGCTTGGCTGGAGCCCAGGGGAAGAGGAGTCCCAGGGGGGGGCGTCGTATCTGACCCGGGGGGGGGGTCGCTACCCCCCCCCCCCTCCCGGCGGGGGAGGGATCAAAGGGAAGGGGCTTCCTTTCGACTCAATTACGAGGTTGCTCAAGGTCGGCTTGGCTGGAGCCCATGGAAGAGGAGTCCCAGGGTGGGGGCGTCGTATCTTGAACCCGGGGGGGGGTCGTCGCCTACCCCCCCTCCCCCCCTCACGGCGGGGAGGGGAGCAAAGGGAAGGTTGGGCTTCCCTTCGACTCAATTACGAGGTTGCTCAAGGTCGGCTTGGCTGGAGCCCAGGGGAAGAGGTCTCCCAGGGAAAGGGAAGGACAGAGACGACGAGTACAAAGAATGACGGAGATGACGGCTCGAACGGAAAAGCCCCTCACACACGCCGACAGGGTCGGCGGATTTCAAGCCGCAGGGCTCACGAAGCCTATGTGGGCATTGGTCGTTTTCGTGCTTGCTTGACTGCAGGGGAGCGGCGGTGCGACAGCGACGGCGAACAGGAGGACAGGCACAGGCGTCACGGCGGACCCTCCAGCTTTGGTCCCTCGCCCTCTCGAGCCATCCCTTCTTTGATCTCCGTACCCTCTCCTCCTCTCCCCTCCGGTGCGCCCTCCCCGCCCCCTCCCTTCGTTCCCTCTTTTTCTCTTTCTCTTTATTTGTTTGTCCATCTCTCTCTCTCTCTCTCTCTCCCTTCATTTCTCCTTCCCTCCCCTCCCCTCCCCTCCCCTCCCCCCCCCTCCTCGCCCCCGCCCTCGCCCTGTGCCCAGATGTGGCCGCCGCGGCTGCAGCCCTCTCGAGCGCGCCAGTGTCCTGGCCCCTCCGAGCCAAAGCCCCCGCCACCTGGGCCCGGGGCCTGCCCGCCCGCCCGCCCGCCTCTGTGGACTTCCGCGCCCTTGCTGCTCCTTCCTCCTTCCTCCTCCTCTCCCCTCCTCTCCTCCTCCTCCTCTCCTCCTCCTCCCTCCTCCTCCTCCACTTCTTCAATCCTCCTCCTCCTCCTCCCCACCTGCCTGCCTGCCCGCAGCCCCGCCTCCCACCACGACTCCCATGCCCGCCCGCTCCCTGGCTCGCCAGTCCGCCGCCCCTCGCCGGGCATCTCGGCCCAACGTCGCGCTCCCAGGGGGCCCCAATTTTGCATGCCGCCAGCGCGGGCCTGAGCTCTGGGGCCCCGTCTCGCGCGCGGCTGCCGAGTGGCCGGGGCCTCGGGCGAGGCACGCCGGCGCAGGAGATGCAAGCGATGCAGGTGGTGGGCTGCAGGCATCCGTCCGTTGGCGAGATCATCGTCGGGGACTTCCTCCTGAGCTCGGAGAACCACGGCCGCCCGGTCTTCAGGCGCACCACGCAGGTGAAGGGTTTCGACGTTTTGTGCTACTTCTGGGACGACCGGGACGGGCCCAGCTACGGCGGCTGGTGGTTCGGGCCGAAGGTTGGCGGAGACCAGGTCCCCGGGAAGCTGTGAAGCGATCCTGTGGTCCACGCCACCTTTTCCTCAGTGTTCTGCAGCGCTTCTCCTACCGCCGCGGGGTCTCGTCGTAACGGTTTGGCTCGGCCTAAACAAAGAATAAAACAAAGAATAGGTCTAAGTGGTGTCGAGAAAACGTACAGGAGTAAAGCGAGTCGTATTTTGAAGAGAAAGGGGAAAAGGGGGAGCAGAATCAGGAGTCGCACGGGTGCCGAATCGAACTATGTTTCCCTCCTTGACCGCCTTCCCCCGACAGCATTCTCGCTTAGCTCTGTAATGTGCCAGCACGAAGTAGCGTGGCAGTTGTGGCCATAACGAAGAATCTAGTGTGGAGAAGGGAATAGCGTAGGCTCGTTGGACAAATACCAAGCGACGTGAACAGTCACAGGTATTTTCCTATGCCAGTCTACCATCAATTTGAGTATTGCTTCTGACGAAGTTGATGAAGATCATGACGGTGATATGTTCAGTCTTACACCGTCTGATCAAAACGAATTTCGCCTCCGCGGTGCATTTTGATTGGATGCTGTTCTTGATAGTTCGGTTCGTGTGGCATTAGTCTTTGCTTTGGTGGTACGCACTTAGTCCAGGGCCGTTGCGCTGGACGTCTGGACCCGTGAGACTTTTGTCTTGGAATGTTGGCGGTGGTGGATAGCCGGAGCCGTCCTGAGGTCTGGGCCTACAACGCCCAGAAGCAGTCGCCCACGCCTCCGACCAGTGGCTGGCAGGCAGCACTGGGCTGGAACATCTGCGCCGTGACGTGCCCCTGCCCCCCTGCCCCGATCCCCCTCCTCACCATCACAGGGGTGCGAGGGGACTGCACGAGAGAGAGAGGAGCACCTCCTTGCGCAGACCCTCCAGCTTGGGCCAGGTGCCCTACGGCGGCCCGGTCGACCCGGACCTCGTTATCAGAATGCAGGGCGCAGGCATGCAGCAGCAGCAGCAGCAGCAGCCGCAGCAGGCCGCCTACGGCGCTTGCGGCCAGCCACAGCAGGGCGCCGGCTACGGCCAACAGCAGCACATGGGCTGCGGCGGTGGTTGTGGTCAGCCACAGCAGGGCGCCGGCTACGGCCAGCAGCAGCAGCACATGGGCTGCGGCGGCGGGTGTGGTCAGCCACAGCAGGGCGCTGGCTACGGCCAGCACGCGCATCAGCAGCAGGGCTGCGGCGGCTGCGGCCAGCCGCAGCACGGCGGGTGCGGCCAGCAGCCGCAGTACGGCGGGTACGGCCAGCCGCAGCACGGCGGGTGCGGCCAGCAGTATGGCCAGCAGCACCAGCAGCAGCAGCAGCAGCAGCACCAGATGCAGCAGCACCAAGTGCAGCAGCACCAGATGCAGCAGCAACAGCAGATGCAGCAGCAGCAGCAGCAGATGCAGCAGCAGCAGCAGCAGCAGCAGCAGCAGCAGCAGCAGCAGCAGCAGCATCAGCAGCGTACGCAGCAGCAGCATATGGGCTGCGGCGGCCAGAGCGGCTGGGGCGGTGCTGGCCAGGGCCAGCAGAACAGCCAGCAGCAGAAGCACGGCCAGCAGCAACAGCAGCAGCAGGGTGGCTGGGGCAGCTCGGGCCAGGGCTCCCAAGGAGCGCCCGGGCGAATGTTTGAAGCGGCCCAGGAGGCGGTAACGCCCGCATGCAAAGCAGAGCTTCACTCGAGCCCAGGTCGACCCCCGTACCCAGAAGGGTGTTCTGCCGTCGCGTGGTCTTCTTTGGCCCCGTAAGGGCGGGGTCTCTTCCCAACAGCTGGAGCTCGGTCGGAGAGCTTCGAGGTGGCGATGCCAGTGCCGCTGTTCGCTTCCCATGGCTCTGGCGGTGGCCCGACGACTGAATAGATAGCACCTCTGACTGAAAATCCCACGCGCACATTCCCCACCCGCCCCGCAGAGCAGTGGCAGTGGCTAGAGCCCAACCAAATTGGCGCCGTAAGTTTGGTTTTCGAGCGAGGCACCATCGAAGAAAACTAAGATTGGGTTTGATCCCCAGCCCTCAACCTCTCCTTCTGCCCAGCCCGAATCCCCCCCGTGACGGGCTCGTGGCTGTTCTGTGCATCTATTCTGAGACCGCCGCTGGAGTTGCATAGGGGGGGGGGGGGGCAGACGAGACTCCTGGCGACACCGCCGCCGGACCAGAGCTCTGGCAAGGCCGACGCGCGCCTCCTGCCCCCTCCCGAGCCGACGAGAGCAACGAGCCCGCCGCGGGTCGCTGCTGACCCGCGTCCCCCAGCCGTCTCCGTCCTCGGGTCGGACGGACGCTTGGCATCGCTCAGACGTGTGCATTTTTTCTCGGCGAGAACCATCGAGGACCATCCTGGACCATCAAGCCAAAAAAAAAAAAACACGCACGAAACCGAAAACAAAACAGGGAATGGACGTCCGAGCGCTGGCGAGAACGGCAGGGGCGGGGGGGCAGGGAAAGCGAGGGGCACGAAGTCTTCGGAATGCAGCTGGTGTCTGCAGGCGTCTGGAGGCGCCAGGGAAGCCTCTTTCATGAGCTGATTCGCGAGCCCCACCTTTGCTATTCGCCCCCCCCCTCTCCCCCCATCCTGGGGGGCTTCTGGCCCGCCGATAGGACAGCAGAGCGGTGGCTGGGGCAGCTCTGGCCAGTCGAGCTGGAAGGACTCCGGTTCTAGCTGGAAGGACTCGAGTTCGAGCTGGAAAGACTCCAGTTCGAGCTGGAAAGAGTCTGGAGGAGGCCACCAGGGGATTAACGGCAGCGTCTTCCGCTGACTTTTTAACAAGACTGTACGAACGCACGCGTAATGGCGAGGTCCAGCCCCCCCCCCCCCTCATGCTCATCGTCGCCTCCCTTCTCCTTGAGTGATTGGCAGGTAGCAGGAAAAGGGAGGGGCGGGAAAAGGGCGCGGGGATGTGAGAGAGCAGGCATCTCCCAGAGGAGTAATGAAACAGCCCTCGGCCAACCGCCGATGAAGCGGACTGGGGGCGGGGCCTGCAGGGCAGGAAAGCCTCAAGCGTTGCACAAGTGTCTCGCACCGTTCACAGCGCCCGCGTCCGTTTCGTGCGCTGCGCTTCGTGAGGGCCCGAGCGCCGGGCGTGTCGTCGGCAGAGCTGGCAAACCAGCGCGGAGGTGGAGAGCATGTGAGCTGATCGCGCTGCAGGTATTCAAATCGTGCATGACACAGATATTCGCCAAGTGGAGTCATGGCGGTGCGCCTACCCAGACACCATCGATACACCGTCTCGGAGATAACACCATGTATCGAAGACGCCTACGGCGAATCACCGCCGCCCCCTGCCTTTTTGGAAACGCCGATGTGGCCGAAAGTTGGACTAGAGCTTGGCCAAGCTATCGGACCATGAGTTCCCCGAGTCGGTTTGGAAAGCTTTCGGGGAACACATGGGAGAGAATGATTATGAACAGGAAGAGGAAGAGGAAGAAATAGAGTAGGAGGATGAGGGTTGTTAGGAGTCTCTTGGGGCACCCTTGGGGTCTGTTGGGGGCTTCTTGGGGGCCTCTTCGAGGCCTCTTGGAGGCATCTTGGGGGCCTCCTTGGGCCTCTTGGGGCCTTTGGGGGCTTCCTGGGGGTCTCTTTGGCCGTCTTAGGGCGTTCCTGGTCCGTCTGACGCCGTCTGGAGCCGTCTTGGGGGCCTCTCTGGGCCGTCTTGGGGCCCTCTTGGGGCGCTTCAGGGCCGTCTTGGAGGCCATGTTGGGCGTCTTGGAGGCCTCTTGGGCCGTCTTGGGGCGCTCTTGGGGCCGTCTTGGGGGGCCCTTGGGCCGTCATAGGGCCTTCTTGGAGGCCTCTTGGGCGATCTTGGGGGCCTCTTGGGCCGTCGGAAGGCCGAAAAGAAGAAAACGCAAACAACCTTCAAAAACCTAAGGAAAACCAATGATTTTGGCCTCTTCGGGCTCTCCTGGAGAACGTCTTGGAGGCCTCTTGGGCCATCTTGGAGGCATCTTGGGGCCATCTTGGCCGTCTTGGAGGGCATCTTGGGCCGTCTTGGAGGCATCTTGGAGCCATCTTACCCGTCTTGGAGGCCATCTTGGCCGTCTTGGAGGCATCTTGGAGGCCATCTTGGGCCATCTTGGCCGTCTTGGAGGCCATCTTGGGCCAAGTTGGGGCAACAAAGGCATTGACAGATGGATTTTCGGAAACTTACGGGTGGCCGGCGGGACGGGCCGAAGCCCACATTGGTTGGTTCTTTTAGAAAAAGAACCAAAACCAAAACCTGAAACGTCCAGCACGCCGTGCACCCCTGTGGCAAGACCACAGGGGGCGGCGGATCTAATGGCCGTCGGCCCATCCCGCCACCGTGCGTGGGTTGTGGGCCACACAGGCCTCTAGGATGTTTGTTGGGATGTCGCAGGAGGCCTCTCGGGGGCCTCATGGGGGCCGGTTGGAGGCCTCTTGGGAGCCGTTTCGGGGCCTCTTCGGGCGTTTTGCCGGTTCTGGAGCATTCATAAGAAACAGCCACATGATGAGTTGTCCGCCCGCGCCCAAACGGCCAGACAGCCTGACTGACAGCTCCAGTGGGGCGGCTCGCTGTGCGCGGCGTGGGCGCGGACTCTCAAGGTCGGACTGCTCTTACCGGTGCCTTTTTACTCATGGCATCGGGTTGAATCTTCGTGTGCAGCATTGGCCTTCACCCCTCTCGATTGGGGCTGCGGATCTACATCGCGATCTCTTCTCACTCGGTTCGTGATGCGAAGGGCACGCACGCGAGCTGACATCGTGTTGATGTAATGGCTCTTAAGGGGGGAGAGATATTCGGCCTGCTCTCACCGTCGATGGCCTCAGAGAGCCCTCGCACCCCCGCCTTCAGTCTGCCGGCCCAGGGCTGCGCGCAGAGTTGCTATCCTGCCTTGGGTTCGTGCGTCGGGCAGCGATTTCTGGGAGAGCTGTCGCAGGAAGGGCGGCCAGGGATGCCCGTCGAACCGAATCTGGTGTCAGCCCGAGCAGCTCCCCACACCCTCCCCAACAAACGGCCCACTGAGAGACCCCAGGGAACTTTCCTCGGGGGCCCTCCTTGGCCCACACGACGGCCGCAACATCGCTCCTTGCAGTGCTTCGGGAGGAGGAGGAGGAGGAGGAGGAGGAGGAGGAGGAGGTCCGTAGCCATTTTGGCTCAAGGCTAAACGTAACGAAGGTTCGGGGAACCGAGGTGTTGCGATTAGCTTTGGACCCATCCCTAGCGATCTCTCGAATCGCTTGGGGCTTGCCCGCGGCACACCTTCTCGTCCTCTCACCCTGTGCACCACCAGTGCTATCTGCGAGCCATGGGCGATGGCGGTCATGTCATCCCGAGCCAGATGCAGATGGCCACAGATATCGACCTCGACGGCATCACTACCTTCCCGCCGTCTCAAGTGGGCGCTGGTGGGTCTTCGCAAGTGGCTACTCCTGTCCGTGGTGCTGCCCCTCCTGGTGCTGATTTGGGTGGTGGTGGCCAAGGAGTGCAAGGTGGTATCAACAAACGTCGCGCTGGTCCTCTGCCCGCAGGTGATGCTGACTTCGAGGTCGTCCATGCCGCATACTTACAGGACTCCATCGAGGCCTTGCGTGCTGAGCTGCTCGAGCAGGTCACGAACACGACTTCCGCGCTCAACTCCAGTCTGCAGGGATTGGCTACCAGGGTGCAAACCACATGTTCTGCGATGGCATCGCAGGTCGAACAACGTCTTCATGGAGTGGAAACGATTCAACGCCGTCACACAAAGCAGCTCCAGGCTCTTCATGAAGAGGTCAAACAACTCAAGCGTGAGCTCAACGTGGTCAAGGAAACTCCCAGCGAGATGCCCACGGTCTTCCCGAAGTTGTCTCTGGATTCGGCGTTCAACCGTGCCATCGACGCGTCGATCATTGTGGTCCGCTGCAAGGAGCAGACAACGAAGCATCAAGTTCATGGAGCCTTTTCTACCGTGGCTGGAGCGTCTCAACATCGAGTCGTCCGAGTGGGAGCTCCAGGGGGAACCGTCGGACAGGAGGTTCACGATCAAGTTCAAGGGTAGTTCTCAGTTCGCCGCCCGCCGTGTACAGCATGCACTCAGCCTGTTGCGCCCGCAGCGTCCTGGCGAGGAGTGGATGCGCTTTTTCGCTCCTGCGATTTCTGGGGCCCGCTCGGAGATCTTTGTCGGGTCGGACAAAAACCAGTGCCAGGTCAAGCGCGAAGTCGCGCTTAAGGCTGCCAAGAGGTTATTTGAGAACCGCTTTCAGGACAAACAGTTGTTTGTTGACAAGCTGCGCGGCACCATTTCCACGAATTGGCGCCAGCTCGTGGAGATCACTCCGCAGGCCGACGACGCGCCGCGGGTTCGCTGGGCGGAAGCGAATCTGGCTCTCGAGAATATCTCCCGCGAGGAAATCGAGGGGCCGCTGGCTGTCGCCATCCAGGGGGACAACCAGACCCAGTGGTCTCTTTAGCACGTTCTTCGCTCTCTGGAGCGGATCTTCCGAGACGCTGTTGAGGACCGGCTCTTGGAACTCGAATGCCCCGTTGCACCATCAGACTCTCGTGCGCACTGCTGAATTCCGCTATTTAAAACGCCTGCTCCGTCCTGGGGCAATCGTGGCCGTGCGGGAAGTCCACGGATCGATTGCAGAGGTGCGAGATTTCTTGCATCACGCTAATCTCCCCTTCTCCTGCTCCTCCTCTTTCCTTCCAGCAGTGCTTGACGATGATGGTATCACTAGGCCGCGCCCTGCAGGAGGCGTTGTCACATTTTATCCGAAGTTTAACCCCAGCAGCGAACGGGAGCGGAGGTTCGGCAGCGCGTCTCCCCTCGTCTCTTCTCTCTCTCTCTGGTTCCTGGTCGAGTATTACACGCGTTTCTCATCTCATGATGGTTCGACATGGATATCTCACTATAACGTTCACAATCACAGTATCTCTCGTGTTCAACGTCGTCATGTATGTCAGTGTATCGCTAATGATCTAATGGGCGCTAGTCGAGACCCACAGAACAAGCTGGCCATCGTTGTCGGGGACTTGAACTTCGGTCTGCAACCGCCCGCGCCGCTCAACCCGAGCGACGAGCTTTTCAATGCACCTCTGCCGCCGCTCGTTCCAGGGGCTCCCGAGTGGCGAGAAGTTCTTCATAAGATGGTTGAGTTCCAGCTAGAGGCGCCTACCCATTATCATGCGGGGGTACAGCACTTATCCTACATCGATCGGTTGTTCTGCTCTGCTTCAGGGTGGGTGTTATCTCAGATGGTTGCCAGCGGGGAGGTGGTGGGAATCCCAGAACAGCTTCTAGCGAAACACATCTCAGACCATGCTGCAGTATGTGCGACTCTTGTTGCTCGTCAGCGGCCGCCTGAAGATGCCCGGCCTATCCCGCGTGAGATCTTTCGCACGGCCGAATTTGCGTGGCATATGCGTCGTGCACTTGCTGCTGCTGAATATGAACATCTTAGTGTACCTCTCAGACATGCGCATTATAAGGAACTCATGATAGAAGCAGCTCGATATGCCCGAAACACGCTTATCATACACAAGCCGCAGTCGCTCGACGCCAAATTCATAGTCCTGCGTACGTGTGCACGTGCTGTCTTTCGGCAAGATGTGCGTCTCGCCGAGCGCGTTTGCCAGTCCCACCCTCTCGCTCGTGAGCACCTCGTTTACGACGAAGCTGCGAGCACGGTCGATCTGGTCTCGCCGCTGGACTTTGCATCGCTCTCGGACACGCTGCACGCTGAAGTTTCACAGCGTCGGCGACAACTCGTGCAAGCGAGTCTCGCTGCTGCTGGAAGCGAGCAGCGCCAGGCTCGGCTTCGAGGACGGGTGGAGAAAATGAAAAAGGCTGCTAAGTTATGGCCCCCCTCTGACAAACGTGTCTCTCTGGCGGGGGTTCGGGTCCAGGGGCAAATCTTGCAGGAACCCTCCCGCGTCCTTGAAGCGCTGTCTGCTCATTGGGCCCCCGTCTTTTCTGGTAAGCCTTTCGAAGAAGAGCCTGCTAAGTCGCGCCTTCAGGAGTTCGCCCCTCGAGTTTCGCGCCACGGTCCCCCCCCCCCACCTTGGCCTTCCTGGAAAGCTACCTTCGGGGGCAGTCCGACCCTGGCCCCGGGCCCGACCGTCTCAAACACGCTGCGTGGCAGCATGCCCCGCTAGGTCCCTCCATGCTGTTTGAAGGACTTCAGTGGATCCTGAGCGGCTTCTCGCTCTCCTTCAACTTTAACGAGCTGCTGGGAGTTTACATTCCCAAAGGCACGGAAGCTGGCGATCAAGATGTTTTTTTTTTCGGGATGTTGGGGACACTCGGCCTCTCGGCCTCAAAAACACGGACTGTAAGATCCTGACGGGGGTTTGTTGCTGGGAGCTCTCTCGTCGCGTCCCTGCTGGACTCGGCTCGAACCAACGTGGTTTCGTTTCGGGCCGAAACTTTTGTTCGAACATCGTGGAGTTGGATACTTACTCGAGGGTCTACTCTATGGGTCCCAGGGCGTCGCTTCCGCTGCTTATAGGTTTGGACATCGGCCAGGCCTTCCCGAGCTTGTGTCAGAGATGGCTGATGCTGGTGCTCGACGCTCTCGCCCTCCCTCCTCCTCTTCGGTGGTTCTACCAGGTTATCTACGAAAACGTCACGCGTCGGGGGAACATTGGTGGCGTTACTAGCTTTATGTACCACATCACGGCTGGCATCGTCCAGGGCTGCCCGGCTTCTGGGCTTCTCTTCAGTCTCGCTCTTGATCCCTTTCTTCAAGACTTTCGCTCCGTGGTGGACGGCACGGGCCGTGGCCATACGAGAGCTTGTGCCGACGACATCGGCATGGCGCTGAAGTGCATCTCCGCATTGAGTGAGATCTCGGCGGTTTTTCGGAAGGCTCAGAGACTGGCGCACCTGAAGCTCAAGATCCCGAAGTGCCACATTGTCCCGCTTATAGATTCGGCATCTCCTGAAGTCATTCACCAGTATCGCCTCTGGCTTGGCACTCACCTTCCGGGTTGGACCTCCATGGGAATCTCGGGCAAACTCAAGTACCTTGGGATGTTTCTAGGACCTGATGTCGAATGGGACTCGTGGCACGCCCCGCTCAGTAAGTACCAGTCTCGTTGTGCCTTGATAGCTGCTGGTGGCTCTGCGACAGAGGTTACCGCTTTACTTTATCGCCGCCGTGCTGTCTCGGTCTTATCTTACGTCGCCCAGTTCATGATCATCCCTCCTCATCTCCGAAAGTCAGAGTACCAGCAGCTGTCCCGTCTATTTAAAACGCCGTTTCGTTGCTGGGCGAACGCCGACTGGCACCGCCTGAAGGACTGGGGTGGACCCCAAACGACCTCGATCCTCGCCCTTTGCCTCGCATCTCTGATGCGCTCTTGCAAATGCACCCTCCCGTGCTGGCGTGACTGTATGTGGATTTTGGAAGAGACCGCGTGGGCCGAACTCCCGCTCGTCACCATCGTTTCTGGTTATCCTGATCTTGAAGGAGGGCGCCGTTGGTGCCCGAAGTTTTGGAGGTCCCGCCCCATCGCTCAAAATCTGCAACAGGCTGATCTAGGCTTTCAGGACTCCCCGACTTGCAGGATCCCTGGCAGGGCGGCTCTTCGCGCGCTGCGAGACCATGTCGCTGCTCACCCTCTCCTTCCTCTTAAAGCACTTCATCCCCAGCGTGTACTCTACCTATCCCTCCTGCACTCCCTCTTCCCCGATAACTTGATCACGATGTTCAAGGCTCGTCTGCGCAGAGGTTGCCCAGAGTCGGTCCAAGAGGTTGAGACGATTGACTGGGATCGCTGCCGTACCGAGATTCTCTCCCTCCCTCCCTCCTGGCGCGCTGCCGTGCTGAAAACTCTTGCCGCTGCCTGGGTTGCTGATAGCCGATTGCAGAAGTCTACACCATGCATGCTCGGATGCCCAGATTGTGCAGACAGATTTTGGCACTACTGGAAGTGCCCACGTTTCCTGAGGCTCCTCACAGAAGTTGTTGGACACCCTCTTGACTATCGTCCCCTCGCTCGCCTCGGCGTCCTTTCCCCCTCTCGTGCCTCTTTTGCCATCCCTGTTTTCGCCTACTTCCTGTCCAATGCCTTGCACCCTCTCGTGTCAGTGTCAGCGCCTGTGATCCCGCCAGACACGCAATCCAGCGTGCTCAGGGCGGTGCGGTTTCAGGTTGCCCGCCCAACGTGCGGTGGCCTGCGCACGTGATGTGGATGAACCCCAGGCGCCCCCCTGCTACGCCTGAGGAGGAGGAGGACGAGGAGGAGGAGGAGGAGGAGGAGGAGGAGGAGGAGGAGGAGGAGGGGAGGAGGAGGGATGGAGGAGGAGGAGGAGGAGGAGGGGAGGAGGAGGAGGAGGAGGAGAGGAGGAGGAGGAGGAGGAGGAGGGGGGGGGGGGGGCGCGGGTGGCTCCCGTGGGGCTTCCGGGGGGGCCCTCCCCGGGCTCCCCCTCGGGGCACGCGCGCAGGCCCTGTGCGGCCATGCCGGGGCCAGGCTGAGGCCCCCAGGGGTTAGCGGGGGCGGCAAAGAGGGGGGTGATGACTAGGAGTGGGTGGATATCATGGCGTGGGCTTCGATATTTCCCCAGATTTCATGGCGCCTCTTCTTGTTTCCTTGCGTCCCTGGCCCCCCCGCTGGGCCGCGCACCTGCCGCCGGTCATGATTTGCACCCCCCCCTCCTTGGACACCCCCCTCTTGGCCGCTCCCGAGGTTCGCGGAAGCGGAGAGGAGGCAGGAGGGGGAAAAGCACACGCGGACAGACACAATGAATCGTCGATTCTCACGGAAATATGGAAAACTATGGGAAGTGGGGGGGGGAGACAGAAACGCAGAACATATGGGGAATCCTTTGATTTGTCTGCATTGATTTGTGTGTCTGAGGGCCCCTTCAAGAAGGCAGGCGACAAGAAGCATACTGGGGCCTCCCGGGGGCATCCTGAAGAAGTTCCGTGGCCACCTTGGGCCGTCGTATGGCGGTATTGGGGCCCCCTTGGAAGCATGCCAGAGACCATCTTGCGCCATTTTGGAGACCATCTTGAGCGGCAGTCGGACCGAGGCATAAGATCGAGGTCGGTTTGGGGGAGGTACTCTAAGTAATGTTCTTCGTGGTTGTGGGACGTTCTCCTGCCCCCGCACGGCTCAGCGCTGTGCCTTCTCCTCGGTGCGCCGCGGTACGCCGTTCGTGGTGTCCCATTGCGACCCCCGCCAGCTCCAGCCGCTGGCTGCCGCCCACCCGCCACCCTTGCCACCGTGGTTTGCCACGGCCGCCCACCGCGCACTGGCCCTGCGCGCCTGGCTGCTGCTGCCCCCCGGCTGCTCATCATCGAACTGTCCGGCGTTTGGGCGTCCCTTCTCCCTCTCGGCCGTCCCCCCCCCCTTGCTCGCCGGCCAATTCGCTACTTAGTGCCCCTATCTAGCTTCTCGCTGGAGCGGAGTTCGCCGCCTCGCCGCTGACGAAAAAATTACTGGCACGTTTTTGTGCACCCTGGGGGAGGGTACCCTCGAATGTTCTTCAGTGTGGCGCCTTTGTTCGCTCGTTCTGGTAAGGCTGGGGCTCGGGGCTCATGATGCGGCTACGTCCGTCCGCGGGGTCGCAGGTTATTGAGAGATGTTCTTCTGGCGTAGGCTCGACTGTACGTAGAGCCATCTTGCCATCTTGCAGCCGCCCAGAGCCGCTTTTGACGTCCCTGCGCGTCCCGGGGGGGTGGGGGGGAGGGCGCCCAGACCCCCTGGGAGCGGCAAGCCGTGGCAGACCCCTCCCCGAAGGGGAGCGTTTGGGCAAGAGCCGGTCAGCGGACCTGTGGCGCGCGGCCGGAAGGGGGCCGAAGCCGGCGGCCGGACCCAGGCGCGCAAGCCGCTCCTCAGCGATCAGAAGCGTGGGAGGAGGAGCGGGCCAGCCTCCCACCGCCCCCTCCCACCGCCCCCTCCAGGGAACCGGAGGTGGGCCGGCCCCGCGGGCGGCAGCAACGGCCGCCCCGACCGGTCAGCTGAGCAGCCTACGCCCAGAGGGCCAGTGGGATCCTCCGCCCGCGTCTGCGTCAGGGGAGGGAGGGAGGGCCCACCCCGGGCCCCCCGAACTGGCGTTTCCTAGGCAGCCCTTGCCTCGCCCCATCCCTTCCTCAGCCGTGTTTGCCAAAGGGCTTCGCTTGTCGAGGTGCTTGTCATGAGGGTGGCTGTTCTACATGACTGTGAAGGCCTTGTGGCGGGGGCCGCCGGCCCTGGAAAAAGACCCCCCTGATGAAGGTGACAGCCAGAGTGGTTCGGGAAGGTTGGGGCCAGACGCTCAGGAGAGTTGCTCTGAAACCCCACGAGGTTCCCAAGAAGCGTATGACGAGGAGCACAGCTTGGCCAAGCTATCTGCCTATGTGCTTTCGCAGAAGAGGGGGAGGAATCAGGAGAGGGAGGAGGAGGACGAAGAGGAGGAGTGGAAGGATCAGAAGGAGGAGGAGGAGGAGGAGGAGGAGGAGGAGGAGGAGGGTGAGGAGGAGGAGGAGGAGGAGGAGGAGGAGGGTGAGAACGAGGAGGAGAACGAGGAGGACAGCGAGGAGGACAACGAGGCGGACAAGAAGGAGGAGGAGGAGGAAGAAGAGGAGGAGGAGGAGGAGGAGGAGGAGGAGGATTGTCAAGGCTTCCTCTCTTAGGACACGGGTAAAGTATTAGAGTGCTCTTGGATGCCTCTTGGAGCGTCTTCGAGGCGCCTTGGACCGTCTGGAGGTCATCTTGGGCGTCCTGGAGCAATGTTTCGCTGACTCTGGGCCTCTTTGGCCCCTCTTGGAGCATCTTGGACTTGATTTGTTCTGATTTGTCAAATGAGGGCCAAATTTGATCGAAGGCGGCCCGAGAACGGAAGGTGGGGGAGCGCATTCTGAGCTGGACCCCCCCCTGGGACCTCCCCCCCCGCGGCCCCCTTCTGGGACCCCCCCCCTGGACACCCCACTCGGGGACTGCGGGAAACCTTGTTCTGACCCAGGACTCGCTCGTAGGACCCCCCTTCCCCCGGAACCCCTCCTCGGGAGACCCCTCCTTGGGACCCCCCCCCCAGGACCTCCTTCTGGAACCCCCCTCCCTGGAACCCCCCTCCCCGGTGCCATGACCCCCCCCCCCTCCCCTGGATGGGGAAGGAGTCAAGGGGAAGAGGCTCCCCTTCGACTCAATTACGACTTCGATTGCGACCTGGCTCGATTCACTTCGAGTTGACGAGCTTGGCGCGCCGAGAGCTTGGCGCGCCAAAGAGGGTGATGAGGTGGGCGCGCCCAAGAGAACGCCAAAGGGTGCTCCGAGGACGACGGCAAGGCAGTCGCACAGCTTTCACGAAGCGCCATGCACTGCATGAGCGCGGAAACCCAAGCTGATCAAAACTGAGTCACCCATGAAGGGCTGTGGAGAGTCATCCCACCCTTCCGACCTCCTGGCAGTGCGGAAGGAGACCCAATTTCCTTTGACTGTCCCGCCGGCCTGCCTTTTCTTACAGGCTGGGACAGCGACAGGCGCTGCGGCCGGGGCAGCAGAAACGGCCGTATCATATCTTTTTTGCCCCCGCCACGATGGCCAAGCAGTCACGCAGCTTTTCGTGTCCAGGGCGCACGGCGACGCCCGCTGCGAGTCCCTGCGCGCGGGCGCCGTCGCCTCCGCCCTCCGCTCTGCTGCGGGAGGGCGCTCCCTGCCACTCTGCTCTGGAGTCTCTGCTGCGCTCTACCTGGCGCCGGCCAGTGGTTTCGTAGCACCTCTTCTTCCTCCCCCCTCCCCCCCACACGCCGTTTTGCCGACGGCCGCAGCGCTGGCTTCAGGCCAGCCAGCTTTGCATTGATACGAGTCAAGGGGATTTCGTGGCATTTGATTTCTCTTGTCTTCTCTCTGTCCTCATCTTCCTCCTCCTCCTCCTCCTCCTCCTTCTCCTTCTCCTCCTCCTCCTCCTCCTCCTCAAGTCCTCCTCCTCCTCCTCCTCCTCCTCCTCCTCCTCCTCCTCCTCCTCCTCCTCCTCCTCCTCCTCCTCCTCCTCCTCCTCCTCCTCCTCTCCTCTCCTCCCCTTCTTCTCCTCTCCCCTCTCTCCTCCTTCCTCCTCCTCCTCCTTCTCCTCCTCCTCCTCGTCCTCCTCCTCCTCCTTTCCTCCTCCTCCTCCTCCTCCGCCTCCTCCTCCTCCTCCTCCTTTCTTTCCCTTTATATAAGATTCGTTGGGATTCCAAGTTGACGTGGTCATTCGCGGAACTTCGGCCCGGATTGTTTTATAACAGTGCAGGTCTGCAGGTGTCCCAAGTCCCCAGGTGCGCGCAATGGCTCGCCTATGGCAGGTTGGCTTGCGCTGCTTCAGGTATTTGGGATTGTTTCTCCGCCTCCCTCTCCCCTCTCATCCTTCTCCGCTCCTCCCCGCTGAATGTGGTGACCTTCCCGACCGACCGCTATAGATCACTTCCCTTACGATGATGGCCCCCTTGAGGGGCAGCGGTTGTGGTGACGTTAACCCGGGCCGGCCTTTACAGAGCACTTCCGTCGCAATGATATCCTCCTTGAGGGGCAGCGGGTCGTTCGGCGTCCGCTCCCATCTTCCCCCCTAAAGCAAACAAGTTTTGCGGGCGCGACGCGTAGTGCATTGCATGAGCACATGGCCCCAGAGTTGATCTTCCCGTGGAGGGCACCTCGCGTACGGCTCGTAAGGAATCCTGCGGGCCACAGCGCTCGACCGCGGGTGCATGGTCTCCTCGGGGGGCGTCTTGCGACTTTGTATGGCCCTAGGTACGGTAGAGGGAAACAATTAACGAACACCCCCCCCTGCCCCCCAAACTCAAAGTTGGCACGCGGGGGGGAGACTGCGGTCGAGGTGCAACTCAACAGACCCACCGCCAACTTTGAATATTGGGGGGAGGGGGAGGCGTTCACAGATGAATGTGGCATGATCGTTCGCTATTTTTTCCGAGGCCTGTATCGCGCTCGCTCATGGATTCTCTTTACTAAACAGAGTTGGAGTCTACCCTTATCCGAGGACGGGGTCAACGGCCCCTCTCCGCGAACTGTTCTGCACGATCGCTCATCCCAAATATCATGCTGGCCAGGCTGGTATCGGCACCCCCGCCATCTCTTGCAACAACTTATATGCGGCATGCGTGCGTTGAGCTAGGAATCGCTTCTTCTGAGAATCCTGTGCAACAGCTGCGTTACTGGGCACATACGCGCGCCGCCGCGTTCACATGGCTAGTCGAAAGCTAATGCAAGTGATGTGCTTCTTCAACGGAACGGCTGCCAGAATGCTACACGCGCGCCCCCGTTAGAATCGTAAGAAAACCACAGGTTGTTAGCTCAAGCCAGAGCATGCGGGCCACCTGCGCGCGCATTTCAAACACGTTCAACAACCATCGCGCGCCCACCAGCTCTGTCAGATAGTATCATGCAGGCCACGCCCGCGCGTCTCCGCGCGCGTGCGTCGACTTTCGTGCAGAGCCATGGGTTTTCGGGCCAATTCAGCGCAGATCTGTGCAACAACGTACGAGCACCTACTGGTGTTCATTGCGTGTCATGTCACGATGTCTGGACTTCTGCGGGCGAGCACTGTCTCACCGCCCTCATCAGGACATTCGTTATCATCATCGTCAGCGTCAGCATCGCCATCGTCATCATCATAGCCCTCGTCAAGTTTCTGCGCGCGGGCACTCCCTCATCATCGCCACCAGCAGCACCATCGCCATCATCATCGCCAGCGTCAGTTTTGCCATCATTATTCTTATCACCATAATCGGAATGACCATCGTCGCCATCGACATCGAATCGCCCCCATCGCCATCGGTATCAGCGTCATCACCACCGTCATTGGCGTCGCTCCCGTCACCATCGCCACCAGCAGTTCGCGAGCTGGAGGACGGACTCTTCTGCGCGGGTTAGTTCCATGCGCAAGTGCGCTCGTTGATGCTCGTTGAGGTCATGGCCGTGTGAGCTTCCCCAACAGGTTGCGGGTGAGTGGGTGGAATGTTTGCACGAGTATAAGAGGTGGTCACGCGTGGATGTTGCGCGGGCTGTGAATTGCACACCATAGGCAACACCCTTGGAGCCGTTTTCATCAGTGCTGGAATCCATATGTTTTCGGAGGGCCTGTCTGCCCGTAAGAACAGATACGAAATCGGCAGGCCCGCGGATGTGTATAGGCAGGTTTTGGGTTTTTGAATCTGCCACTCGTGTGGGGGTACGGAGATAGGCTGGCCCGCTTTTGGCCCTCGGCCTGCTGACCAAAGGCTGCGCGTAGAGATGCCGCCTTGTCAGGGCTCATTTCGACTCCTCCGACTCGATTCGATTTCGATCGGTTCCGATTCCGATTCGATTGGACTTCGGAGTCCGATTCGGATTTCGGTTTCTCAATGGGGGCCTCACCAGCCTGCCGATCTCCGCCGACTCGACTTCTCCCGACCTGGCCGCCGATCTCCGCCGATCCGGCTCATTTCCATCGCCAGTCCGACTCCTCGCTGCGATCCCAGGCTCTCCAGATTCGCCTTTGCCGGCTGGCGTCGGGCTGCCCCCCTCCCGTCCAGGCTGGGACAAGAACGACCAGCAGGGCGGCCGGGGCTGGGGCGGCGGCTCGGGGGGCCACAGCGACTGGCAGCAGGACCAGGCCAAGAAGGAGGAGGACGCAAGGCGCGGAGCCACAAGCGAATTCGCGGACCCCGCCCCTGTTTCGGGTCGAGTCTCGAGCGAAGAGAAACACGAAGAAGAGGCTGCGCGTTTCGCCCCCTAGGGGCTCTTCGGTGCAACTTGCCTGCGGTGCAGCATCAAACGAGCGTCGTCGACGATGGGGCCGTCACAATCGAATTCGGGGACCCCGCCCATCCCACATCCCCCATCCCCCTGGCGGTCGGATCTGGTCGGTCTAGAATGCCTGCCCCCTGCTCGGTGAGGACGACAACGGCTTTCCAATGCAGCCATTTTCTCGCTTGTGCCGCAGCTCGCTGGTCTCCTCCCGCGCCCCCGCCTTCTCCCTCCACAAAGATGCTCGCGTTTTGCTTTCCGTGGACTGGGAGGGAGGGCGCGGCGCTGGCCTCCCATTGGAAGCTCTGGGTGCGGAGGGGGGGGGTTAGATAGTAAATCACGGAAGCTTCCGCTCGTCCTCGCTTGCGTGCATATCGGCGCAGAGCGCCGAGTAGCGATCAAACAGCGCGGAACAGTGCCCAGCAGCGTCAACAAGCAGTCCAGCGGCGCCCGCTAGTGGCCAATAGCGCCCAAGAGCGCCACGGGAGGGAGGTGCATTGCGTCCGCTCTGCGCGCGCTTGGGCGCCAAGGGGGGCGACCAGAGGCCTCCGTGAGCTGCTTTCTGAGGACGGGGTGGGGGCGCGGAGGGTGTGCCGACCTCCCCTGCCGAGGAGGGATGCCGCCCGCAAGCGCATGGAGGAGGAGAAGGCGAGGGTGGCCGCCGCCCAGGCCGAGCAGCGTGCCAAGAACGAGGCTGCCAGGAAGGTGCTCGAGGAGAGGAAGGCCAAGGCCGAGGAGGAGAGGCAGAAGAAGCTCGAGGAGTTCAAGCAGAGGCAGCAGGAGATGCAGAGGCAGAAGGAAGAGAGGCAGGCCGAGATGCAGAAGAAGCAGAAGGAGCAGCTTGCCGTCGGCAAGATCAGGCCCAGGGGCTTTCAAGCAACAGGGGGAACACCAAACAAGGAAGGGGGCTCCATGTTAGGGCTGCGCGTGATTCTTCCGCCAACAGGCCAAGAATCAGCGAGCACCTGCCTTTTGCCATGGACACTTCGAGATGGGCCCTGCGCGTGCCCGGCGCCCAGGAGCCCAGAGACGCCTGTGGGAACCGTGGGGGCGGGCGGGCCCCTCTGGCGAGTGGCACCCAGGGGACCGAGCGACGCCTTTTTCCAGGCCGGGACCGCGGGGGCGGGCGCGGGCGGGCCCGGGTCTGGCGAGCGGCACCCGCGGGGCCCAGGAGACGCCTCTCTCCAGGCGGGGGCCGCGGGGGCTGGCGGGCCCCCCGCTGTCGAGCGGCGCCCAGGCATCACGAGGCGCCCTCTGCCGGGCCGGGGGCCGTGGTCGGCTGCGCGCAAGACTGACCTTCCGCTGGAGTGACCCCTGGTGCGAGCCCACAGGGGTCCCTCCAGCACTGGCTGGCGCGCTTGGATGTGGCCCCCCCCGCGTCCCCCCAACGCCGCACACCAATGGTCACTCTTCCCTACGTGAGGGTATACTCTTGCGTGTAGCCGACATGGGGGCGGGAGACCGCATTTTCAGGACCATGCCCCATTTGGGGGGCGCTAAGAAACCCAGGAGAGGAACTGCTGCTGCTCCTGCTTCTCCCATTCCTCCCCTCTCCTCCCCTCGCGGGCCGGTCAGCTCCAGCTGTGCCAGCCTGGGGTCGGTCACTTTCGGAGGTGGAGGAAAGGAGGAGGAGGAGGAGGAGGAGGAGGGAGGAGGAGGAGGAGCAGGAGGAAGAGGAGGAGGGAGGAGGAGGAGGAGGAGGAGGAGCGGGAGGAAGAGGAGCAGGGAGGAGGAGGAGGAGGAAGGAGCGGCAAGTGTGCGGGGAGTCCATCCTCGGCCTCCTCGCTCCTCCTACCCTTGGCTGGTAGAGAGCGCGGTGGCCGAGAGGGGGGGCAGCATCGAGGGGGAGTTCATTTTGCATACAGTCGGGGCGCTGAATAAGGAACCCTTTTCGTTGGGGAGGGGCTCGGTGTTCCTTGATTGTTTTACAGTTTGCCTTGGGTTATCCTGAGGTTCTCCATGGGAAGTCGAAGTTTAACTGATGGGAAAAAGGGGCCTCGTTCCTTATTTGGGGTTCCTTAGGTCAACGCCCCGAATGTAGGGCTTGACGTGGGGCGCCGCGTGGTCAAACGACATAGTGAGCAAAGCGATGTGAGCGAGAGTGCCACATCAGCGGGTGGCCCGGTCACCCACGTCACGTGTTGTTGCCGGCAACGAGTCTTTAATGCCATCTGAGATTGCTTCGCATTAGGCTTGGGATTTGAAAGTTGCATCACGAGTTCTGCTTCCCAGGTGCGAATCGTGCAATGTACAGTTGCTCCATGTTGGGCTTGGTAACCTACATGGGCCTTAGTGTCTCTTCCTGCGACTTGTGGGTTTACGTAAGGCGCCTCGTGAATGTTGCGATGACGCCACATCAGTGGGTGACCCTGGTCACAAACGTCAGCGGCAGTTGCTGCCAATGTGTTTATAGTACACGAAGACATGGCCTCCTGTTGGGTTTGGAAGCCTAGACTTGCCTTTCAGGCTTATCATGCTCGGGGGGGCTACGTAGAGCACCTCGTGAACAAAACGATATTGCGAGCGTGTGAGTGTGGCACTACATCAACGGGTGGCCCGGCTGCTTTCTATGTGTACGCAGTGCCATGTTAATTGATACAATGTTGGGATTGGGAATTAAAATTGACTCCGAGGTTTTTCATGCTGTTATTGGGTTTGCGGAGGGTGCCTTGTGAAGAAACGCTATTGCGAGCGTGTGAATGCGGTGAGGATTGTTACCACATCAGCTGGTGACTGGGGTCACTCACGTCACATGCTGCTGCTGCAAATGCGTGCGCAGTGCAATGGTAAGTGGCTCAATGCTGGACTTGGGGACCTAAAACTATCTTCAGGTGTTTCATGTGGTTTTTAGGGATTGAGATGCGCACCTCGTCAACAAATGCTATTCCGAGTGTGTGAGTGCGGGGAGGATATTACATCAGCGGGTGAAAAGGGTAACTCGAGTCACCCGCTGCTGCTGGCAACTTGTGCAGCTGGAATTCTAAATGGCTCAATGCTGGGCTGGTGAGCCTAACCTCAGGTTTTTTTTACTTGACGTTTGGGCTTAAGTAGGGCGCCTCGTGAACAAATGCTATTCCGAGCGTGTGAGTGCGGCGAGGATGTCACATCGTCACATCAGCGGGTGAAAAGGTTCACTCGCGTCACCCGTTGCTGCTGGCAACGTGCGTGAACTGGAATTCTAAATTTCACCAGAGCAAAACCCCAATCAGTGAATGATGTTAAATGGGGTCGATAAAGAGATCGATAAGGAGATCGACCGGGAAGCCAGGAACCCGGGAACCCGAAACCCACCGATATCGGCCCGGAACCAATAACCAGGAATCCGGGAACCCGGAACCGGGAACCCTGGAACCCAGCCGGCTACCGAAATCGGCGGGAAATTGTCCCCTAATTTTTCAATATCCGCTAGGACCCCTTCAGTGCAAGCACTCATTGTGGAATGGCTCAATGCTGGGCTGGGGAGCCTAGCCTTCGGCTTTTTTCACTTGACGTTTGGGTTTCAGTAGGGCGCCTCGTGAGCAAGTGCTATTCCGAGCGTGTGTTTGCGGCGAGGATGTCACATCAGCGGGTGAAAAGGGTCACTCGCGTCACCCGCTGCTGCTGGCAGCGTGCGTAAACTGAAACTCTAAATGGCTCACTGTTAGGCTCGGGAGCCTGACCGTCGGGGGTTTCATGTGGCGTTTGGGCTGAAGCAGGGCGCCTCGTGAGCAAATGCTGTTGCGCGCGTGGGACCCAGGTCACATCAGCGGGGGACCCATGTCACCCGCGTCCACCCGCTGCTGCTGTGAACCGTATAGTGCGATGTAACACTTCACCATGCTGGACTTTGAGCATGCCCTACTGAGGTTTTCACTTGACATGTTGGCTTACGTGGGGCGCCTCCGGAACAGTTGATGCTGCGAGCGCCTGAGCGTGGCGAGGGTGCAACATCGGTGGGTGACCCGGGTCGCCCGCGTCGCGTGTTGCTGCAAGCAGATGCGTGCACGGTGCGCTACGGCATGGCTCCATGTGCTGCTTGGGAACCGACAGGTGCATTGCGCGTTGTTCGTTGTGTTCTTGGGCTCAGGCAGGGCGCCGGGTGGCAAGGAGGCGCAGGGCCCGTGGACGGGGCGGGGCCAAGAAGTTGAGAATCCGAGCGCGCGAAATGCAAGCGAGGCCTGTCTGCAGGAGAGGGAAGGCCCAAGATCCAGGAGCGCAGCGGTGGGAATTCGATGCGGGCCCGCCGAGCCGACGCGGGCCCGCCGAGCCAAAAGAGAGCAAGTTGAGCGTGTGAAGAGTTGAAGTGGGTCTGCACCCGGGAAGGGCAGGGCCCAGAACCCAGGAAGCCCGAATTGAAGGGGCCAGATCCGAATTGGAGCCAGAATTTGGCCCGGAATCCCCTCCCTCCAGTGAAGCTTGCACACTACCTGAGCTCAGGTAGGGTCTCCACGGGCGCGGGCCAGGAGTCATAATACATGACCATCTGCAATAGAGCCCCCCTTATTGCCAAGCAATGGAGGACAAGTCCTCCAGGATGGAGGCCGAACTTCCATATTGCGGACTTTGAGTATCCGGCAGGATGGCGCTGCAGAAGTTGCGGCTCGCGACCCCCGAGAACATAGAGGAGCTGGAGAAGAACGCCCAAGAGGTCCAGGAACCTGGGCAGAGAATTCCCGCTTCATCCTCGTCCTCTCTGCCTTCCCCACTGCTCCTCCTGCCCCTCCTCCCTCCTCTTCCTGCCCTCCTCCTTCCGTCGTCCTCCCTCCAGTCTCCCTGCACCTCCTCCCTCCTCCCTCCGTCCCCCACTGCCTCCCATCCCTTCTCCTTTCCTCTCCTTTCCTTCCCTTCTACGCGCTCCCCCTCCCATCTTTCTTGAGCTGCACCTGGGCAGCACCAAGATTGCGAGCGACGTGACCCGCGGCCTTGGCAGGACAGAGCGAGCACATGCACACTGTGTGCATCGAGCTTGTCCTTGAAGCGGCAGCGTAAAATACAATAGCCAGCTTGTGAGTTTTGATCGTCCCCACGACGTGGATATCGATGACGTCTGGAAAGCATGGGGTTTTCTTATGCAGTCAACGCATCAGAAGTATGATTGGGATGTCTGGCCCAGACTGTTCGATTGCACCGTGGCAACAGCGATGCTATATGATTCCGCGGCTTGGGTATTTCATCACGCTTCGCGTATCCCCACCAGTTTAGGTTAATTCGTCTTTGCGCGGCCCGCTCTGACTCGACTCGCCGCTGGCGCCCTCGCCTGCGGTCGCTGACAAAAAGTATCCCCACCAGCCCATTCAGAAATCTGCCCATGTGAGCTGGCGGGCAAAGGGGCGAAGAGACACATAAGATGGAACAAAGCGGGCAACCAGGGTGATCAGAGTCAACTGGTCTGTCTGTTGAGCCTCAGCTGTCTATGAGCTTGCGGTGGCGAAAGTGGTAATGGCCCCAATCACAGGGGAAGCGCCACCCGCAAAAGCTTCTGGCCGTGGTGGACGGGTCCCGTCCGCCTTGGTGCTGTCTGTGCCCAGGAGGAGGAGTGAGGAGGAGGAGGAGGAGGAGGAGGAGGAGGAGGAGGAGGAGGAGGAGGAGGAGGAGGAGGAGGAGGAAGAGGAGAAGGAGGAGGAGGAGGAGGAGGAGGAGGAGGAGAGGGCTACGTGCAAGGAGGAGGAGGAGGAAGACGACGACCACCACCACCACCACGGTGAGGAAGAGGAGGACGAGGAGGGACAGGGAAAGGACGATGATGGGGGCAAGGACGAGGACGGGTACAAGAAGAAGGAGGAGGAGGAGGATAACGAGGACGAGGACAGAGCCCTCAAAATCTCCTCTTGGAGCCCTCTTGGGACTCTTTTTGGGGAGCCTTTGGGCCCCTGTTGAAGCCCTTTTGGGGCCTCCTTGGGGGTCCCTTGGGAGCCATGGAGGGCCTCTTGGGGCCATTTTGGAGGCCGTCGATCAAACGGGGGGGGGTCATAAATCTATGTCCCCCCTCTCGGGGCCATTAACATCGTCTCTTGGGGTTGTCTTGGGACGCTCATGGGCCGATCTTGGGCGCTCTGGAGGCCGCCTGGGGGGCCTCTTGGGCCCCCCGTGAGCCTCTTTTGGGACATCTTGTGGCCATCCTGTGGCCTCAAAAGCGCATCGGAAGAAAAGGCCAGGAGTCACTCATCATTGCTTTTCCTCGGGTGTTTGAGGGATGCTGGCCTCTTGGGGGGGTCCTGGGGGGCCCCGAGAGCACTTGGAGTCGTCCTGTAGCCCTCGTCGGATCTCTTGGACGTATTTCGGAAGCTATCTTGAACCATCTTCGGCTATCTTGAGCCGCTTTGGATGCCATCTTGGAGCATCGGAGGCCCTATTGGAGCAATCGTGGGCGAACAAGGGCCCCCTCTCACCTTGCTACCCCCAAAAAACACAAAACCTCAGAGAGGGGAGGGGGAGGGCACCCCTCCCCGAAGGGAAGAGGGTCTTGGAAGAGGAAAGACAGATATCGCTAGACCAGCTTAGCCCAAAAGGCTGGTGGGATTACAAGTGCATTCGGGGACAACACCAGGAGAAACCGAAGAGATGTGATACATGAATAGTCATGCGCATGGCCAGGCGCGCACCGTTCTGGAGACCAGCTTATTCCTTGCCAACATCGTCATGCTGTCTTCCTGTTTGGGGCTTCCAGTGCTGACGCTCACGACCGTGATAGTGAGAGCCTGCTTCTGGAACCACGGCTTGTCTTTGTCCAGCGACGTCAGAAGCGGAGCTGCGAGTGGCCAAGTGGGGGCTTCATGGTCGGATCGCGCTGCAACAGGAGGAAGCTGCCAAGCGGGCGTAATAGCCTGCCCCCCATCATTTCACCACGGGCACAGGCCCGTAATCAGCGGAAGCAGACCCGATGCGACGCTGCGCGCATCCCCACCAGCGTTCGCTGGCGCCGTCAGTTTACTTTTCCCGCTGGACTGCGTCACCAGTGTCAGTCTGCCCATACCCGTCAGACTCCCTGGATTGACGTCCCGCACGGAAATCGTTCCCTACCTCTGTTCGTCCGTTTCGTTCACAGTGGGAACGCCTAGCGCGCCATTTTGGCTGCGCTCGGCTCTCCTCGGTGGCTAACCTCTCAGACTCCCTGGATGTGCCGTTGCATGTTCACCTCAGGGGCTGCCCGGCAGACTCCCTGGATTTGCACGCCCTGGCTTCTCGGACGCCCTGGGTTGCCGCTGCCCGCCGCCTGACCGCGGCCCCGCGCGCGCCCGCCCCCTCGTCGCGGCCGCAGCCCGACCGTGACCGCCTGCCGCTGGCGCTTCCGCCTGCGGCCGTAAAAAAAAAAATCCCCACCAGCCCTCAGCCGCAGTTTCTGAGTGCTGGCCCAGCCGGCTTGCTTCTCGCTTAGTGTTTGATTCAGGCTGGCCCGTGCCCCGGACCCCCTTTTGGCGACTGCGAATCCGCGTCCGCCCGCGACCAAAAAAAAACATCCCCACCAGCCTATCCAGCAACGATGCCCAGGAGAGCTGCCCTTCTCGGGGGAGCGTGGCATCAACGGCCCAGAAGACCCTTGGATGCTTCCTTATGTCTCTTGGGGTGCCTCTCGGGGGCCTCTTGGGGACTTCTTGTGGCATCTTGAGGGCACGCGCAGCAGGGTGCGGGCGTTGGAGCGCCGCTCCCGGAGCCTGCGGTGCCAGGCCAGCTCCTGGCGGGACGTGTGACCGCCCTCGAGCGCGCCAGGCGCGCGGGAGCGGAAGGAGGGGGCGCGGCCTTTTTTCCCGCTGCACCGCGCTGGCCGCGCGGCGGGGTGGCGAGATGGTCCCCCGCCGCGCGGCTGAGCCGCCTCCTCCTGCCGCGGCGCCGCGGCTGCGAGCCCCGCTGCAGCAGCGGGGGACCAGGGGAAGTCCCCATGCTGCGATGGCGCGGGCCGCGCGGCACGCGTGAGCCCGACCCCGCGGGCGGCCTGACTCGGCGATCGATCGGGCGGCGGCGCCGATCGGCCTTGATCGAGCCGAGCCGATCAGGCCCCGCCCGCCAGAGGCCAAATGAGCTTCTCCTCCTCCTCCTCCTCCTCCTCCTCCTCCTCCTCCCACTCCTCCTCCTCCTCCTCCTCATCTCTCCCCTTTTATCATCTCCTCTTCCTCCTTCTCCTCCTCCTCCTCCTCCTCCTCCTCCTCCCATCTCCTGATTGGATGGAGGGTGGCAGCCTCTCGGTCTTCTCTCCTCCCACCCCCCTCCTCCTCGCCTTTTCTGTCGCAGTTCGGGCCCGGCTTCCTCCCGCTCGGCTCCACCCCCTGTGAATCCGTTCCGCCCCGCCCCCCCGCCAGCGACGTCGCCCCCCCTTCCGCCCGCCTGCGTGTCGCTCCTGGCCCTCCCTTCCTTTAGGCAGGCTGCGAGGTGATGATCTCAACTGGCCCTCCCTCCTCCTCCTCCTCCTTCTCCTTCTTCTCCTCCTCCTCCTCTGTCCTCCTCCTCCTCCTCCTCCTCCTCCGCATCCTGCTTTTCCCTCCCCTCCTCCTCCTCCTCCTCCACTTCCTCCTCATCCTCCTCCTTTTCCATGTCCCGTATCCCACCCTGCGGGTGTGAGGGCATGTGGTATGTGCGTCCTCCATCTCCTCCTCCTCCTCCTCCTCCTCCTCCTCTTCTTCCTCCGTCGCCACTGTGGCGCAAGACGGTACGCTGATTTCGTTTCGCTTGGCCCAAATCGGGCAAGCGACGATAGTTATTACCGAACTACCCTGGCAAGCATTCTTCAGGGCTCAATGAGACAGCGCATGGACAAAGGAAGACTATCCTCTGTGCGTGTCAGGCGGGTTCGAAATCTCGCCACATCGTTCCAGGTGTTACCTCACATCACCGAGCCTTGGACTTTGGAGCTCTTGGTCAATTTGGAGATGGAATTCTCTCAAGCATGTTTTGATGCACCCCTTCGTTTGTCGCCGTGTGTTATGCGATTTTCGAAGCCACGTTCGTCTCGCAAGGTGTCTTTGTCTCATGCCGTGATGTGTGACATGCCGAGTCCTCTCGCCGACGCACGCGGCGCCCATGATGTGCAGCTGGTCGCCTACCAGGGATTGGCTGACTTTCAAAATAAAACGACCGTCTGCCTGCAAGGCATGCAGGCCAAATTGGATGCCCCACGTGACATGGAATCGGAGGGGCCTGAAACTGGAGCGCATGCAAGTGGCGCAGACAGCGCCAGCAGTAATTCTGGCACGTCTTCGTACATTTTTGTTCTGTGGTCTGGCCACACTGGGTCTCGCCAGCCGCCAGCCACCCCTGGAAGCCCTCTTACACAGCTGGGGCTAAAGGGCGCGGGACTACATTGACCGGCAGGTGCGCGGTTGCTTGCAAGAGCTTGCGAAACAGATGCCGAGCACGATTTCGAATGTCATTCCGAATGGCATCGCCGCTCGTCTTCCTGAGGCCGTGGCCATGGGCCAGAGGTGTAGAGCCGCAAATGGACCACATCGCAGTTGTTACCGCTGACGTGCTCACTGCATTGGGAGGACGAGCCGAGGCACCGGAGATCGTGGGGTCGTCCGCCACAGAGACCGCGGCATCGCGAACGCGAATCCCCTCTCGCACGGCCGCCCCTTGCAGCCGGGCTTGAAAAGGGGCCGATGCGGGACGGTCGCCGAGCCCGGGACCGGTGCCGAGGCCAACGGGGCAGCAGGCCAGTAGACGACTCCGTCGGTATGGTCGGGAATGCTTCCGCCGCGATGGCATGTTCGCCTACGCTGATGGCCGCATCGTGAGCGCGGCGGACACGGCACCCTCTGCGCAAGCGGCCAAGGCAGCGTCGTGCTCTGGTGGCCCTGAGCGGTTCACTCCTGCCGCGCGGCTCCGGGATTACATATGCCAGATTCGACGTCCTGGCAGATGCGTTTGAAGCGAAAGAAGTAGATGAGTTGTTGCTGGCAAAGATAAGCCATGATAAGCCGTGTTAGGCAGTGGCCCGAGTCCCCGGCTGAGCCAGGCATGGGTTGAGGTGTGTGTGTGCGCGTGTGGCAACACATGTGCAGTAGGTGGTCTTCTCTGATATCGTATGCCTTTAGCTTCCCCTGCTCGGACTCCTAGCGCTGACACGTGTTACGATCGTGTCCAAAGCTCTGTCGTTTCTTCCTCCTCGCGCGCTTCTTGGCCGCCTCCGCTGTGTTCTCGGTTCTGCCCTGTCCCATCAATTTCGTCCTCTATTTGTTCAAGATCATTGTGTGTGGCGTGCCTAGTCCTCTCTAAAAGGGTCGTCAATCATCGTGTTCACCTTTCGACCACTTCCTCCTTCTCCTCCTCCTCCTCCTCCTCCTCCTCCTCCTCCTCCTCATCATCATCATCATCATCATCATCATCATCATCATCATCATCATCATCATCATCATCATCATCATCATCATCATCATTCTCTCCCCATCCTTCTTCTCCCTCCGCCGCCTCAGCCTCTTCTCTCTGGGCAGCTTATATCCTCATACACGTATTGCAGCAGATTTCGCAGCCCCTGCCAGTACAACGAACTTGTTGGTAGGGCCTGCAGAAACTTGCTGCGATGGTCAGGTAGTGGCCAGTGAGTTTAACAAGCCTTCTTCGGAGAGGTGATCCCTGCATCGGCCGCACAGTGGGTTGGCATTGCAGGCATATGTTTTTTTCTTCAATTTTCTGATCAATTCAGTGGCCAAGGTGAATGCGCACGAGGATGACGACGCTTCGCTCCTTGACCCCGAGAGAAAGCACACTGCTGTTGACAACGCGGCCGACCTGGCTGCTAAGGAGGGTGCAGAGATGCAGCCGGAGACGTCGAATGCGGAGCATGAGCACCTCAGCGTTTTGGCCCTGGTTTCGAATACTGTCACGAAGTTAGCTGCGAACGCCCTGGAGTTCTGGCCGAGGACGAATTTGGACGGAGCTGAGCGCGCAAAAAGTGTGCCTTGTCCGCCCAAGCCTGCTGGCTCAGTGCACGAATGGATTTGGGTCGGCCGCTTCTGGCAATGTCCGCGCTGCTTGGGATGATGTCGGGTCCTTCTTCTCCTAGTCTTTGCTTTCGCCAGCTTCGGGTCTACCCTGCCAAGCTGCGCGAGCTCGAGCATCGATGTGTGATGGTCGAATGTAGTGGCCACAGTTTTGTTTGCGTGTGCCGAGCCTGCCACGCATTCAGCTGCGACGCCCTGCGAAGTAGTGTCTCAAGAGACCGCCACGGCGAAGGGAAGCTTCGCCGAGATTGGGCAAGGGACTCCACCATGACCACAAGATGGAGGCACAGCCGATCTCGACAATATTGGCCCTAGGTAGCTGGGGTGCGCACGTCGTCCTACCCTGCGGCCGCCTCGCGCGACCGAAGGGTCAGCGCTGGCAGCTCGCCTCCTCCTCATCATCCCTGCTTTGGAGTCTTCGGCCGCTAAAATGCAGAAACAAAACCCTCCCCTCCTCCCTCCCCCCTCCCCCCTGGGCAGATGGTTGGGGCCTTGGGTCTTCTTTTGCCCGCCGGGCAGGGCGGGAGATATACTGCCCCGATTGTTTGGAGCTCCAGGTTCCACCCTTGCGGCCCCTCCCGAGAGGAGGGGGGGGGGGGGCCTGGACGGCGCTGCGTGGCTTGACGCTTCCTCCTGCCGAGCCGATTCGATCCGATCCTCCCCCCCTCGTGCCCCTCGACCCCTCCCCCCTTTCCCCCCTCGTTCCCCCCCTCGTTCCCCCCCCCCCTACCCCCCCCAGGTCCCCTCTCTGCCCCTCTTCCTCGACGGGTGTTCCGGGCAGCATGAGGTTTCTGGGTATTAAAGATCGGCTTTGCACCAGGATGGGGTGCTGAGATCGGGGAGGACCCTTCCAGCCTCACTTCCTCTCCTCCTCCCTCCTCGCCCCTCCTCTCCTCTCTCCTCTCCTCTTCCTCTCCTCTCCTCCTCCTCCCTCCTCCATCCTCCTCCCCTCCTCCTCCTCCTCCTCCTCCTTCCTCTCCTCCTCCTCCTCCTCGTCCTCCTCCTCCTCCTGCTCCTCCTCCTCCTCCTCCTCCTCCTCCTCCTCCTCCTCCTCCTCCTCCTCCCCTCCTCCTCCTCCTCCCTCCTCGTCCCTCCTCCTCCTCCTCCTCCTCCTCCTCCTCCTCCTCCTCCTCCTCCTCCTCCTCCTCCTCCTCCTCCTCCTCCTCCTCCCTGTTTGCACAGGAGGCCGAGAGGCCGCACATCGAGGGCGTGCTGGACGCGATCGCGGCCGAGGCCGAGCAGGCCCTCGCCACGGGCAGGCCGGGCGGGCCGGAGCAACGCTTCTCCCGGCCTCCGCCTCCGCCCGGGCCCCCTTCCCCAAGGGGGGGAGGAGGAGGAGGAGGAGGAGGAGAGGAGGAGAGGAGGAGGAGGAGGAGGAGGAGGAGGAGGAGGAGGAGGAGGAGGAGGGACGAGGAGCGAGGAGGAGGAGGAGGAGGAGGAGGAGGAGGAGGAGGAGGAGGGGAGGAGGAGGAGGGAGGAGGAGGAGGAGGAGGAGGAGGAGGAGCGAGGAGGAGGAGGAGGAGGAGGAGGGAGGAGGAGGAGGAGGAGGAGGAGCGAGGAGCGAGGAGCGAGGAGCGAGGAGCGAGGAGCGAGGAGGAGGAGGGGGAGGAGGGGGAGGAAGTTCGAGGCCTCCCAGATGCCTGGTATCGCTCGGACGTGTGCACTCTATCACGGCGGGGGTGATTGAGGAGCCTCCTGGATCATCCTGTGAGAGAAGCCACGCGCGAAACCGAAAAAAGCACAGGGAATGGACGTCCGAGCGACGGGGAGGATGGGGTCCGAGCAGGTGGGGTCGGAGGATCGTGCCGCATCGCCGATGCAGCGGCTCGATGCGGCTCCCGATTTTCTCCGCGCTGGCGTCGCCGATGCACCGCCGACTTCGCCGATGCATCGCCGGCGTCTCGCCGATACACCAGCGACGCGAGGCAATCTTCCGACCCCATCTACTCGGACCCCATTTAGGAGGCCTCAGAAGATGGCTTCACAGTACGAGGGTGTTGGGTACAAGACCCATAGGGCACACCTTCAAGACCACCCAGCGGGTGATGAGGGGGATGTTGTGGGGTGGGGTCTGACGTTGAACGACCAGCACCCGCAGACAGCAGGATAAACATGGCACAACAATGGGGCAGCAACTGGACAACCATTGAGACCACAATCAGGGCAACCATCGGGAGAACCATCGGGAGAACCATCGGGATAACCATCGGGGAAACCATCGGCACAACTGTCGGGACAACCATCGGGACAACCATCGGGACAGCATCGGATAACCATGGGACAACCATCGGAATGACCATGCCACAGCTATGACGCCTATCGCGATGATCATCGAGACAACCATCGGGACAACCATCGGGAAATTCATCGGGCCAACCATCGGGGCAATCATCGGCACAACCATCGGGACAGCATCGAGACAACCATCGAGACAACATCGAGACAACCATCGGGACAACCATCGGGACGACCATCGGGACGACCATCAGGACAGCCACCGAGACAACCATCGGGACAACGATGGGGACAACCGTCGGGACAACCATCGGGACAACCGCTGTGAAATCCGCCGGGTCAACCATCGGGACAACCATGGGGACAACCATCGGGAAAACCATCGGGAGAGCCATCGGGAAACCATCGAACAACCATGGGGACATCCACGGGACAACCGTCAGGACAACGATGCAAGAACAACCATCGGGACAATCATTGGGACAACCATCGGGACAGCCATGGGGACAACCATCGGGACAACCATCAGGACAACGAAGGGACAAGCATCGGGACAACCATCGGGACAACCACGAGACAACTCCAGGGCACGCCCTGGTGCACGCTGGGCATCCCAGGTCACGCCACGGCGCACGGGGCACCGACTCATTTTGGCGTTGCTGGGGCCAAGCTGGTGCAGGAACGCGCGCGGCCTCGCCTCGCCCGCACGCACGGCACGAACAGAAATCGAAGTCGATGTCCCCGTGGGGAGCCCCTCGTTTGCCCCCGAGCTCACCGCCCCTGGCTTCCTATAAAGTCTGTGGTGGTGCATTCGACGCAAGGCTTTGCGGGTGTCGGGGCGTGTGATGCCTGGCCCATCGACTTCGGGCAGGCCTCTGGTGCCCAAGCCCAAAGGCGTATTGTGCCCGTCCGCACCTACCCTGCCCCGCACACAGGGACCTCGCACTGGCGGATAGGGGAGCCAGGTGTGCAATGCAACGTATGTGGTCTGAGCTGTGCTATGTTAGCTATGCGGTGGAAGCGTCCTGGTGCAACATATTAGTTATGAGATAGGTGGTGCAACCTGGGTGGTGCAATCTATGCCGTGTAATATGTGTGGTTTGCGCGAGGTGTTGCGAACTATGTGGTGCAATACACATACATAGAGATTTGTACACACTTATATATAGAGAGAGTAAAATATACGTGGTGTAGTATGTGTAATTTCAGCCATGCGGTGCAAGGTATGTGGTGGGGTTCTTGTGGTGAAATAGTAACATATGCGGTGCAATTTATGTGGCGCAATCTCAGTGGTGCAATATATGTGGTGCAATCCACTTGCCGAACTTGAAGTTGTCAACTCCACTGCTCGCGCAATCATCCCACCCACCCACCCGCAACTTGGTTTGCAAAACCCATGCGGGACCGAGCACAGATATCGCTCCGGGGTCGTCTTGGAGCCCTCGGGGGCGTCTCAAGAGCGCCCCAAGAAGGCCGGAGAAGCAAGACGGCCGACGACGACGACGACGACGACGACGACGACGACGGCGGCGACGGCGGCGACGACGTCGACGACGACGAAGACGACGACGCCGACGCCGACGACGACGAAGACGACGACGACGTCGCCAACGAAGACGACGACGAGGGAGGAGGGAGGACGACGACGGCGACAACGACGACAACGACGACAACGACGACAATGAGGGAGGAGGGAGGACGGCGACGACGCGAACGACGAAGAAGGAGGAAGGACGGCGACGCCGACGACGACAACGACGAGGGAGAGGGGAAGACGACGACGACGACAACGACGACGACGACGGCGACGAAATAGGAGGGACGACGACGAGACGCCGACGACGGACGACGACGACGACGACGAGGGAGGAGGAGGAAGGACGACCACGGCGACAACGACGACGGAAACGACCACGACGCCAAAGAGGACGACGACGACGAACACGAGGAAAGACACAGGACGACGTAGGCGACGACGACGACGACGACGACGACGCGGGAGGAGGGAGGACGGCGACAACGACGACGACGACGACGACGCCGCAAGAGCGCGCGCGCACGCTTTTGTTGAAAATCCGTGTTGCGAAACCTTGTGTTTTTCGTAGGTTTTTTGGACGCGCGATTTTGACATCCTTCCGAAACCGATGGGTTTTGAATGATTTCGGCGTAAGCGCGCGACGACGCGCGCGTCTGCACTTCGTCCCGTTTTTTTGCAGAGGATTCTCGCGACGGCCAACGCGCAAGGGCGTTCGACAGATTTCGACATGCGCGCGCGCGACGCCCCTTTTGTAGCATGTTGTGAAGATCTTGGGAAAACCAATGGTTTTCTTAAGATTTCGCAAGAGCTCGCGCATAAGCTCTTTTAGCAAATCAGTGTTACGAAACCCTGTGTTTTTGTATGTTCTTTTGGAAGCTCGATTGCGAGATCCTTCCGGCACCGAATGTGTTTGAAGGATGTCGGCATGCGCGCGCGACGACGCGCGCGTGCGCACTTCGTCCCAGTTTTTTTGCAAGGGATTCGTGAACAAGTGCTATGTTAGAACAAAAGATGTCCCCGCGTATTTTTTTAAAGAGAACCTCAGGGGGGTCGATACCGGCCCCCCTGGGATAGTGTAAATTCATATTTAGGATGGACATGTGGTCAGAATCATACATGATTTACATACCCCGAAAGGGGGGGCGATAACGCCGGGGGGGGGTAGAGTCTATTCTCTTTTTAGAAAGGAGAATTAATCACTTGCTCAACTTGAAACTGTCCTCTCCAGTGCTCGTGCAAACATCCCACCCTCCCACCCACAACGTTGTTGCAAAACCTCTTAAGACCGTGGCGGTAGGTGCCAACTTGCACTTGGCAACGACAACGACGCCGACGACGGCAGCGACAAGGACGACGGCGACGCTGCCGACAACGACTACGACGACACCGACGGCGTCTCCAACGACTTCGACGACGACGACAACGACGACGACGACGACACCGACGACGACGACGACGCCGACGCCAACGACGACGACGACGATGACAACGCCGACGACGACGACGACGACGGCGACGCCGACGACGACGACAAACGACGACGCCGAGGACGACGACGAGGACGACGCCGACGACGACGAAGACGACGACGACGATGACGTCGCCGACGAAGACGACGACGACGAGGGAGGAGGGAGGACGACGACGGCGACAACGACGACAACGCCGAGGGAGGAGGGAGGACGGCGACGACGCGAACGACGAAGATCAGAGCGTGAATTACCTACCCCGCTTTCGCTTCCAGGCAAAACCAAGCCATACCACGCGCCTCCCCGTCAAGCGGCCTGACCAGTACAGGCTGCAATTTGGCATCGTTTGGTATCTCTTGGAAGCGAGGGTGGTCAAAAGCGAGGTAGGTTTGTTTCCCCCCTAGAAGAAGGAGGGAGGACGGCGACGCCGACGACGACAACGACGAGGGAGGAGGGAAGACGACGACGACGACGCCGACGACCGCGGCGACGAAATAGGAGGGACGACGACGAGACGCCGACGACGGACGACGACGACGACGAGGAGGGAGGAGGAAAGACGACCACGGCGACAACGACGACGGAAACGACGACGACGCCAAAGAGGACGACGACGACGACGAGGAAAGACAGAGGACGACGACGGCGACGACGACGACGAGGGAGGAGGGACGGCGACGACGACGACGCAAGAGCGCGTGCGCACGTTTTTTTTTGAAATCCGTGTTGCGAAACCTTGTGTTCTTGTAACTTATTTGGGCACTCGGGTTTGCAACCCTTCCGAAACCGAAGGTTTTTGAAGGATTTCGGCATGCGCGCGCGACGACGCGCGCGCGTGCACTTCTTTCTTTTTTGCAGAGGATTCTCGCGACGGCCAACGCGCAAGGGCTTTCGAACGATTTCGACATGCGCGCGTACGAAGCCCGTTTGGCACCATTTTTTCAACATCTTGAAAACCCATGGTATCTTAAGATTTCGCAAGAGCGCACGCGTAAACTTTTTTAGAAAATCAGTGTTGCGAAACCCTGTGTGTTTGTATGTTGTTTGGCAAACTCGATTTTGAAATCCTTCCGACGCCGAAGGTTTTTGAAGGATTTTTGCATGCTCGCGCGACGACGCGCTCGCGCGCTTCGTCTCATTTGTTGCTAGGGACTCTTGACAGCTTATAAGTTTTGATAAACGAGTGTGCGCGCATCTCGTTTTTTGCAGAGGATGGCTGGGTGGGGTCGATACCGGTTTGGCTGGGATAGTATGAGTGCACAGGTAGGATGGACATTGTGACTGCATCCTATATGTTTTGCATCGCTTCCCGGGGGATCTGTAAACCGGGGGGAGGGTGGTATGTTTTCTAATGTTTAAAGAATGGAGAATCTATGCGGTGCAGCCGATGATGTGCATTCTATGTGGTGTAAGCTTTGTGGCGCAAGATGCGCGGTGCTCTATAGTTGGAGCACAAGTATGTAATGCGAGCTCCTTGGTGCGACCTACGTAGTGGAATCTATGTGGTGCGTTTCACGCTGCCGAACTTGAGGTCGTCAGCTCCACTGCTCGCGCAATCATCCCTCCCACCCACCCGCAACTTGGTTTGCAAAATCCATGCGGCGGCGATTTCGATGACTGCTCGGCGCTGGCTGGCGCAGTGCCGCGACCGCGCTAGCGCGCATGCTCGCGCGCAAAACGGCCAGCTAGTTTGGCACGACCGACGCGGCCGCGGTGGCGCTGACCGTTGGGCACTTCCCAGCGGGCACTCCAGTGCGAGTCGGCAACTTGGGCGGGCGCGGTCTCATGGCAACGTCGGCAACGGTAGACACGATAATGGTAGTAGCAATGCTGGTGACGTCGATGACAACGACGATGGCATTCCGGCAAGCCTTTTCCAAGCGTTTCCCAATACGCGTGCCTAGAAGCTCTCCAGGAGGTCCTTCGGGAGCTTTCTCCAGGTCCTTCCAGAGTTCTTCGCCAGGCCTTTCCACGCCCTTCAGGCGCCCTGCTATCCGGTCTTTGGACCCCATAAGTAGCGATGCTGGTGGCGATGATGACAACGACGACGGCACGGCCAGTGACGGCGCCGATGTTGATCACGCCGACGACGATGACGGCGTCCTCGCGTCGGTGATGAAGGTTTTGGAAAGAGTTCGACATGTGCGCGCGGCCGACGCACGAGAGTGGTCCGCATGGTATTCTTTGACACGGATCGTGCACCCCCCCCAGCACGCGCGCAACGGCTTTCGAATGATTTCGACACGTGGCGCGAGCAGCCCGTCTGGCACAATAAAATGAACATGTTGGAACAACCGATTGTGTTCTTACGAAGTCGCAAGACCGCGAACGCATTTCCGTTCTTAAATAAGGAAAATAATGATGTTGCGCGCCATGTGTTTTAGGTGTTTGTTTAACAAATGTTTTCGGGGCTCGACTTCGAAATCCTTCCGAAGCGTCAGGTTGTTGAATGATTGCCACATGCGCGCCCGACAAGGCGCGCGTGTGCACTTCGCCCCATTGTTTTGTACGGGATTATGGCGACAGCACGCGCGCACGGGCGTTCGAGCGATGTCGACATGCGCGCGCGGGAAGCATGTTTAGCAGCATGTGATGAGAATGCCGAAGAACATGGTTTTCTTAAAACCCTGCAGGAGCCCAAGCGCAAGTTGTTGTTGAATATCCCTGTTAGGAAACACTATGCTGTTTTACATGTTCCCGGGACATTCGGTTTTGAAATCCTTATGGAAACAATGGTTTTTGAAGGATTTCGGCATGCGCGTGCGACGACGCGCGCGTGTGTGATTTTCGCCACGTGTTCGCAATGAGTTTTTGAAAACTGGTGATGTGCGATAACCGAGTGCGCGCGCATAGTTTCTTGCAGAGGACGAGGTGGGGGCGAGTTTGACTTGGTTGGCGTGGTATGACTTCTTATATCGGAAGGGGCGATTGGACATAATCGTATGCACATTGCAATACATACGCGAAGGGGGACCGTTTGGTCGGGGGGCGGGTCTTAGAAAGGAGAATCAATGTGGTGCAATCTACGAGTCGATGCAATATGTGTGGTGTTTCTGATGTGGTGTGAGCTATGCGGTGCCAGTTACGTGGTGCAGTCCATTGTGCTGAACTAAAACATGTCATCTCCACTGCTCGCGCAAACATCCCACCCTCCCACCCGCAACTTGTTTGGCAAAACTCATGATGCGGGGGGCGGCGGCGCCACCGATGACGACATCGATGATTACATCCTCACTGCCGATGCTCGTCACCGTGAGTCGGTGATGAAGGTGAGCATGTCGACGATACTCGGACGTGCGCGATGACAACATGACGTCGGCAACGTCTGCCACAATGATGAAGATAGCACCAGGGACGACGATGTTCAAGAGGGAGCGCTGCGGCACGAACGATAACGGCGCCAACGCTGGCAAACACGCTGACGATGGTGATGTTCATCTGTCGATGAGGCAGGTGATCGCGGTGATGCTGACAAGGTTGAACAGGAAGTCCGCGCGCGCGAAAATTCAACACATCCGTAAGACTGATCATGCGCGCGCGGCGGCGCGCGCTTGTGGCCCGCGTGGTATATTTCGCAATGGATTCGCGTCCTCGGCGCATGACAGGAATATCGCGGGTGCACCGTTCGGTGACATAAAATCGTTGGAATTGGCAGGAAGCGTAAGAATAGCAGAGTGTTTGTATGATTTAAGCATGAGCGCGCGGACAGGAAAATTGCAAACATTGTGTTGCAAAGCCATGGGTTTTTGGTTTTAATGCTGAAGCGCTTGCAAACACAGTGTGTTTGGTTCGATTTCGGCATGGGCGCGCGCGTGATGACTTTGTGGTAATTATTGCAAGGGATTATTGACATTTGCTTTCTTAAGGAAGAAGTGTGCGCGCATCGTTTTTTGCTGAGAATGGCGGGCGGGGGGGCGATGCCGGCCTGGCTGGGATAGTGTAATTTCATAGTTCGAATCGACGACGGGGCAGATTCATGTGTAAATTGCAATACGAAAAGGCGCCCCGTTAACTCCGGACGGGGGGGGGGGGTAGAGTCTATTCTTCTTTTAGGAAGGAGAATCTAGGTGGCGTGAGCTGGGGCACGTGAGCTACGCCGTGCAAACAGCTGCAATTGGCTGCGGCGACGGCGGCGACGGCGACCGACGGCCAAGCGCAAAAGAAGTGGCGACGGACGGTAGCGACGGGCGGCGACGGAACGGCAACGGGGCGGCGACGGCGACCTCAACGCGGCGCACCCGACAACGGAACCCAGACGACAGGCGAGAACGGGGCGGCGACGGCGCGGCGACGGTTACCACAAGGTGGTTGGCCCGACAGCGGAACCCTTGTGAAAAGAAGCAAGAATTCTTTCGTGCAAGCACTGTTTGGCGACTGCTGCACAATCCCGCACATGTGGTAGTATTGCAGAGGGAGTCTCAGGCGAGAGCCCAGTTTTGAAAACGTTCATCCCTCTCTTCCCACGCCTTTTACGCAACCCAGAACGTGTCAACAGTTAGTCCAAAACGGCTCCTGGGCTGCCCGACTACCCACAGTGGTTCCACGCTTGTCCTGTATGTCTGTCAGAGTCACTTTAGGGCCAATTGTCCACCACTTGTCGTGAAGTGCTGGCCGAGTCTGACAAGTGCCAGCTGGGCTTGTATTGTTGTTCGGAGGACTGTTAGTGGGCTTCGCGACCATACGAACGCAGTACCACCTGGACCCCCCCCAGGAAAAGGGTGGAGACGCTCGTGGAAAACCGCGCAAAGGAGCAGGCCAAGAAAGATGCAGAAGAGAAGCAGAAGGCCGAGCGGGAGGCCAAGGCGAAGGAGCTAGTTGCCGAGCTGGAGGCTCCCGACGTTGAAAGCAAGCCGCCACCACATCATTACGACCATCATGGATTTGCTTCGCTGCCACTAATGCAGTTTCAGTCGCTGTCTTGGCATCGATGCGCAAACCATGCTTCGGCCACCACCACAAAGTGTAATGAATCCTCGTTGCCCTCGCCTGCCACCGTTACAGTATTTGTTGTCAGGGCCGCTGCCATCCAGCTGCCTGCTGCCAGCCCCGCCTGGCACTGCGCCGAGGCAGCTTCCGGATCGTGCCAGCTTGCGTCCATGGTGCCGCCGCCCTGCGCTTGATCGGAGACCTTCTGAAGCATGCGTGCCGCGGTCCTGCCCTCCCCCCGTTCCTGCGCCCCCGCACTCCAGCGCAAGGCGTTACGGCCCCCTTTATCCCCCCTTGTCTCCCCTCTCTCTCCCCGCCCCCGCCACCCTCGCCCCCTCTCATCCCCTCTTCCGTCCCTCTCCCCCTCCCCGCCCCTCCGTAGCCACTCGATTTGAATCCTTGCAGCGGGCCTCCCCCTCCGCTCCGCCCTGGCCACCCTGGCGCGCATCATGGCCAGTGCCAGTGGTGACGGGAGCAGCGTGCCCTGGGTCGAGAAGTACAGGCCCGAGAGGATCGAGGACGTGGCGCAGCAGGACGAGGTGTGCGCCGCGCTCAAGAACAGCCTGCAGACGGGGGAGCTCCCGAACCTCATGTTCTACGGCCCGCCGGGCACGGGCAAGACCACGGTGGCGCTGGCGCTCATGAAGCAGTTCTTCGGCAAGGACTGGAGGGCGCGGGTCAAGGAGCTCAACGCCTCCGACGACCGCGGCATCCAGGCCGTCCGCGACAAGGTGAAGACCTTCGCCCAGCTGACCATCGGCACCAGCGGTGCCGCCGACCTGGCCGCGTCGAAGGCCCGCTTCCGGGTGGTCATCCTGGACGAGGCCGATTCGATGACCCACGACGCCCAGGCCTCCCTTCGCAGGATCATGGAGGAGTTCGTTCACGTGACGCGCTTCATCATCATCTGCAATTACGTGTCCAAGATCATCGAGCCGTTGCACTCCAGGTGCTCGAAGTTCCGCTTCCAGCCAGTCAGCGGGGAGTACCAGAAGCACCGGCTGCTGCACATCTGCGAGCAGGAGGGCGTTCGGCTCGGAGCTGGGGCGCTGGAGCGGCTGATGCAGCTGTCGAAGGGCGACATGCGGGCTGCCGTGATGATGCTCCAAACGTCCGCGACGTTCTACCAGGACGTCTCGGAGGACTGCCTTCAGGAGGTCTTGGCATCGCTCGGACGTGTGCATTTTTCCTTGGGCGAAGACCATCGAGGAGCATCCTTGATCATTTGGCGAGAAAATGCGCACGAAACCGAAAAAAAACACAGGGAATGGACGTCCGAGCGATGGCGAGAGGTCGCCTGCGCGGTGCCCGACCGCGTCGTGGACGGCCTCGTCTCGAGGACGAGGGCGGCGTCTGGCACGGACGAGGTGGTGCGGATCGTGCAGGAGTTCCTCCTCGAGGGGTGCTCGAAGAATCAGCGAGCGAAGAACGGTATAAAATAAACTTTTCGCCGTCGGGGACACCTGCCCCTGGGCGGCTGGAAAGTTTATACCCCTACGGTGCCACCGTAAGGGTATAAACTTTCCAGCCGCCCTGGGACAAGCGCCCCCGACAGCGAAAAAGTTTATTTTATATTGCTCTTCGCCCGTTAAAAGAAGAAAGACGGCATTCATCGGCCAAATGAGAATTCTTCGAATTTTCATCACGACGCTCGCAAGCAGAAGCCGGCGGAAGTAACGCGAGGCGGAAGACTGCGGAATGCCGTCGGAAGGCCCGCGAAGGTCGGCGGAATGAAGCGACGGCCCTTTCGAACCCCCCTTGCCCCCGTAGAAGCCTAGCATAATGTAGTCTTCTGCCGTGGGCCGAGCGGGATCCCGCCTGGCTTATTCCCCTTTTAATAATATAATCTTAGTTCGGGAAGGTCGAAACCCCACCCACTTAAAATAGGGTAAACCAGAATCCCGAGTCGTTCACGGATCCCGTTATTCTGGGATCGGCACGAAGCAAGATGGGGCTCAGAAGTTGCAGCATTCTTGTCGTGTTCGGATCGTCTTGAGGTCATCTTGAGATCATGTCCCAGGCATTGTTGGATCCCGCAGCCGTCACGCAGTCATTTTGGGGCCACCCTGGGCGCTTGGATCCATCTTGTTGCCATCGGGCCATCTCGACGTCACTCCTTGCTCATGTGTTTGGTCAGCTTCGAGTCGACCTGGGACGGTCCAGAATCCATGGCAGGATCGTGTTGGGGTGGCATCATCCCAGGGTCGTCTGGACGTTACCATCCGTGGCTGAGCACGCGCTCGGGCGAGCGTCTGCTGGACATCCTGTCGAGCGATCCGCACATGCCGGACCTCGCCAAGGCGAAGTGCGCGGCGCTCTTCTCGCAGGAGGGAGCTTTTTGTCAGGGGTCCGGCGATAGCCTGGGTTATCGGGCCCGCCCACCTCCCCTCCCTCCCCGGATAAGCTGACCTTGTCCGTTGCACAGGTCCGAAGGGGGGGTGCAGTATTGGTTCGCGCGGGCACACGTGGGGCTGCCCAAGGCGAAAAGGTTAGCTTAGCGGCTGCCCCCCCCCTGGACAACCCGGTATGTCGCCGAAAGAAACGTGATGATCTCCAGGCGGACGAGCGCCTGACGCAGGGCTGCGACGAGGAGCTCCAGATGCAGCACCTGTTCGCGCAGCTGCGGCCCCTCCTGCAGCAAGCGCGCTGAGCGGCCGGCGCGCTTAGGGCGCACCGCCCCCCCTCTTCTTTCCCCCCCCCCCCTCTCCTGTCCTCCAGGTATTGGAAACAATGGAGCAGTTTCGGATCTTCTGAGCGTGACTGTCCGGCCCCCTGGCTGATGGACAAAACCCTGCACCGCCCGCGCGGCCCAACGTGTCGCGAGCTTCAGCGCGCCCCCCCTGCCCCCGATGGTGTTGGTTTGCATCCCCAGCAGGGTGCAGAGTTTCGGCCAGCCGGCAGATCAGCACATCGCTTCGCAGACCGCCAATATCCTGGCATCGCTCGAACGTGTGCATTTTCTCTTCGGCGAGGACCATCGAAGAGCAGCTTGCGTCACCTTGCGAAGAAAAACGCGCACGAAACCGAAACACGCCCGGGGAGTGGACATCCGAGCGATGGCGAGACATGAGATGGGGGGCGCGGGGGGGTGCTCACAAGAGGCAGCAGCAAGAGTGCGGGGCTGTGCCCATCAGCCGTTCTCCCCTCCCTCCCCCGCAGCTCCCCGCCCTTCGCGCTCTCCGCCACCCACCGCCCGGCGGGCGGGCCGCCCGCCGGGCGGCACCCCGCCGATGCCTGCTGGAGATTTCTGCCTGGCGCCATTTTGGGGGCGTGGCGACTCCACGGGGGCGCGGGCTCCACCGCGCGCGCAGTCGTCCTGGGAGTTGGCGCCAGCACGGGGAGGCACGCCACAGAAAAGCATCCCTACGAGCAGCGGCGAGGCGTCCTGGCTCGCCTCGAGGCCCACCAGATATGATGTTCTGAGAACCGCGCGTGGCTTGCACGAGGTGCTTTTAGAGCACTTCTGTCTGAGAAGTTCTGGTGTTGAATGCATCGGCTTTAGGCTCCAGACCCATTGTCTTCGTGATTCGAACACTTCTTGGGTTCTAGGAACATGTCGTGGTAGGCCTGGCCTATAAGGATGCCAGGGCGATCGGACCCTGCTCAAATCCCCCTCCTCGACCCCCGGGGCATTGTTTGGGGAGTTCGAGGGCTGATTCTGCGACTGCGAGAACCTGCCATACGAAGCCGCCTGTGTGAAGATCGACGCCGACATCCCGCCAGACCCTTGAATCCCGGCGAGAAACATGTCAGAGAGCGGGATCGGTCGCCTCATTTCCTCGCGCGCCAGGAGACGAGATTTTCCTCAACAATAGCTCCAACATGCTTCTACGGTGGTTCTGCCGTGATTCGTCGTGGCCTCCTCTGGGCCATGGCTGTAGCATGAATGTTCTACGAGCTCTATTGACGAGGCCCTGTAGAGTCATAGATCTACCATGGATCTGAACTCTTGGGCCTTCCTGGGCGCGATGGTTCTCCCGAGCATCTTGGGGCTGTCCGGACGGGTATTGGCGCTGTCTTGGAGCCCTCCTTGTGCGGTCTTGGGCCCTCTCAGGGCCTTCTCATGGGGCTCTCGTGGCTCTCCTGAGGTCCTCTGGGGCTGTCTTTGGATCCTGAGGGTCCAGCTGGCGGCCAACTTAATCAGGTAGCTCTTGGAGGCTGCCTGCGGCTTCTCTGCCCGGGGGCTCGTTGAGTTGCCTGTCGATTGTCCTTGGGCGAGATGCAGTCGTTTTGAGGCGGCTTTGGGCAGTCGTGGCTTCGTCTGCATCGAGCCGAGAGGGGCCCCGGGGGGAACAGCGCCAGGGGGGCAGTCCTCGAACGTCGGCTGCGTCGGCATGAGGCGGCGACCCCCGAGAAGTGCAGGAACTGTAACAGACAGCCCACGAGCATGCCACCACACCGCGCATGGCGGACCGCGGTTCCTAACCGCGATCACTGCCTTTAGACTTCTCGCTTCCGGCAGTGTGTTCCTGTGGCCTCTGTCGTTGTCGTCGTGAGCTGTTCGATGGGCATCTGCACATGCCTTGCTTCTCTTATGGTTGGTGCTTCTCACGCTACACACCCTCACAAAGTTAAACACCACAGCCAACGCCATCGTGACTCAAAGCTCGTTCCACTGCATAACACTCTAATAAACATGACTGCTAGCATCATCACTCACTCTATCGGCGCTCTCGCACCCATCGCCGTGACCATCATCATGGCCGACGCCTGCACATTCGTCGTCATCACCGTGCTCTTTCTATCCGCGTGCATAACTATGCACAGCTCTTCGTACCCAAAGCAAGGGCAGGTCCCTTGTGAGCCTTTTTTGGGCGAGGGCTTCGTCTTCAAATCAGGTCAGGTCTTCTGCGTCCTATAGTCGGCCTCACTACGATACTCGTGCACCACAATGTTCCCATCATCCTGTTCATGCGCCTACGTCGTCCAAGTCCGGACGCAACTCACGCGACAAATCTTGGGCGACCGCAGTGATATTGTAATTGAACGGCCCCTTCAACGTTGAGTTGTCTCAGACTTTGCCTTCAAAGCTGAATTGAAAGCCAAGTTGGCTCACCCATCTCCTTCGCTTGCGCACCTTCAACTTTGAAGGGGGGGCGGGTGCACGTCCCCTTTCCATTGTTGTCACAGTCGCTCACCTCAGTGTACGAATGGTCTTCCTACTGACACGCACGGCGCATCGTGCCCTTTCCCTGACAAGCATCCAAGAAGCATTCCTTTACCAGACAACCAACAGGCATTCTGACAAGTGCTGGCGGGCCAAGGGCAGGACTCTCTATTTGCGGAACGGGTCATCGTGACCTTTCCCTACCAAGCACCCAACAGGCAGCCCCCTACCAGGCAGCCAGCAAGCATTCTTACACGCACGGCCAGGCCTAGGTTAGGGCCGCAGACATATGTGAATTGCCGTGCGCGCAACACCGCAATTCACCACCACGTGCCTGAGCACGAGGCGTTTCGCGTTTCGTTGGCAAGGGGCAGGAGGAAAGCTGCGCGGAAGGGACTAGGAGGGACAAAGGGGAAAGGAACACAGGACGAAAGCGCTGAGGAAGGTAAGGCGAGGGAGGAGCGGTAAATGGGTAGAGAGACATGGAGAGGAGCAGTCGAGGATGCGCGGGGAAGGATGTAGAACAGGAGTATGGGAGAGGCAATCTAGGAGGATGTGAGCACGAGGAGGACGAGGAGGAGGGAGGAAGGAGGAGAGGAGCGGACGAGGAGGCGGAGATGAGGAGCCTGTGTAGGGAGGAGGACAAGGGGAGGATGCGGGGAGGCGGATGTAGCGGACGAGGAGGAGGCGGACGAGGAGGTAAAGGAAGAGGAGGACAACGGAGGGGATGGTAGGAGAGGAGGAAGAGCAAAGGAAGAGTCGGTGGTAAGGGGGTGCAAGGCATGGGGGGAAGGCACAGTGGATGAGACGGACGAGGAGGAAGTCCTGGAGGCATGAGGGGGAAAAGGAACAGATAAGGAGCAGGAGGAGGAGGAGGAGGAGGAGGAGGAGGAAGAGGAGGAGGAGGAGGAGGACCAGTGTAAACACAAGGCTCAACAACGATGCTGCAATGCACTCTCCCTCCAAACTCCCTCTTCACAGGGCTCTACGAGGAATGATTTCCACTGGGGGAAGACTCCGTTGGAAGACAACAGTTTGAAAATTCCTGAACCGTGCAAGAGCACCACCCCTAGGACTTCAGCGGAACGAATCAGCCTTACTGTTGCGTCTTGGCAATCCTCAACCGTGCCAGAACATCATTCTTGGGACTTCAACACCGCGAGTCAAAGTAACTGTTTGTGCAGCACCTTGCCATCCGTACATGGCTTTGTGTCCTCCAGCAGTCTTGGCACGCTCACCCTCTGAGAATCCTCTGAGACTGTGCAACAACCAGGACTCGAACAACTGATACCTGAAACTGGAGTGCCGTGAGCCGAAACGAGCGTCGCGAAAATGACTGCGAAAGAACGGCCGAAAACGGACGTCGGAAGTGAAGTGAACGAAAGAGGAAATAAAAGGGGATCGCCGAAATGATCACAAAATACTGTTATAGACTTGGTTTTATAGCCACTGCTGTGTTTTTTGTCTCTGGGTTGCGTGTTTCAGTGTTTGTTCCGTTGTGTGATTCGATATATTGTTTTTAGACATACTCCGCGTTTTGAACTGTTAAAAACTTTGTTTTTTTGGGGCACATGTTTCGTGGTGTTTCGGTTTTCTTGGGGTGCCGTTCCAAGCTTGCGGTTCGCGTGTCGTGTTGTTTGGCCCTTTCTTTCGGCGTTCGTTTTCGTGTTGTCCGTTTGTTTCGCGCCGCCGTTGTCCTTCGATGTTCTGATTGCGCTTGACAAGAATCTCGATTATTTTGATGATTCGTTTCGTTATTCGTTTTGTTGGTGATTGAGTTATTCGTTGTCGATGGCCCGATGTTGTTTCGTTTCGTTTTTTTGCGCTGTTCTGTTGCGCGCCTGGCCTGACTTCCAGCCCGGTCCTCAGCCTCTGCCGTAGCCCTAGCCGTAGTTATGGGTGTTCGTTTCGTTGTTCGTTTCGTTTCGTTGTTCGTTTCGTTGGGCGAGAGCCTTAGCCCGAATCTCGCCCCTCGCCCTGGCACTGTTCCCTGGCGTTCGTTTCGTGTGTCGATTCGTTGTTTTCCCTCCGTTACTGTGTTTCCCAATAGTTGTATTGTTCCCTTGGGTGACACGTGTCACTATGTGTTGTTTCACACTGTATCGCCCTATGTTGGTGTCCAGAATGCGAGTCAACATTTTTTTTTCTCACACGGTTTTCGGGGCGACGCTTGTCACCCCCGCGTTGTTTCACATTGTCTGGCCCCATGTTGCCGTCCATAACAATAGTGAAACGCAGTGTTTTTTCTCACACGGTTTTCAGGGTGACCTTTGTCACCCGTGTATTGTTTCACAGTGCTTTGCCGCACGCTGGCGCCCAAAATGAGAGCGAAGCAACTTGTTGTTTTCTCACACGGTTTTCGGCGTGATACGTGTCACCCGCGTGTGGCTTCGCAATGTATGGCCCCATGTTGGCGTCCAGAATACGGGTGAAACAATTGGTGTTTCTCGCATGGTGTTCGGGGTG